GATAAAATAAGAAAAGAAAGAAAAGATAAAAATAATTAATAAGAAAATTATTAATTTAATTAAACTATAAATTAAGTATGATATACATAACTAAATTAATATTTGAATAAGGCTAAATACGGGTAATAATATGAATTAAAAACAGAATTAATAATAAATTAAATTAATTAATATAAATTACTTATTTGTCCAATTTAGTAATGATTAGTGATTACTGCGTCATGTGCTGTGATTGCGTCATTTACTGTGCCACGTCTACTGCACTATATGAATAAGCTGATTGGTTACAATATATTAACTATACTTAATATTAAGATAATATTATAATATAAAAAATATTATAATTATATATTTAATAATATATTAAAATAATAAAAAATAATTAAATTAAAATAATATATATTATAAATATAATTAAAAAAAGTAAAAAAAAAGTTAATTTAAATTTTAAAATAATTTTTACTTAATATTTTAATTAAGATTTATCTTTTAATAATATATAAATTTATATAATTTATATAATTTTTTATATTTATTTATATTTAAAGTATTCTAATTAAAATATTTTTAATTATATTAAAAAATAATTATTCTTATTTATATTAAAAAAATATTAGATTAAATTATAATAAAAAAAGTATATATAAATTATAAAATTAATTTATAATATAAAAAATTTAAAATAAATTTTTTATTTTTAAAAATAATATATTATAATAACTAAAAATAATAATTTAAAAACTAAATTTATTAATAAAATATAGTGAAAATTAAATTTTTTTTCTATATTAAAATTTATAATTTTATTAAGAAATAATTTTTATATTAAAATAAAGTTTATTAATTATAGTTTAATATATATTTTTTTCAGATTTTTTAGATTTTTTTTGAAGAATCATTCTAATTATAAAGTTAATGCAAAAATTTTTACTAATTAAAAATAAAATTTAACTAATAAAAATTTTTATATTCACTTTATAATTAGAGTAATTCTTTTAGAAAAAATCTGAAAAATCTAAAAAAAATATATGTTAAATTATAACTAATAAACTTTATTTTAATATAAAAATAAAAATTATTTCTTAATAAAATTATAAATTTTAATATAGAGAGAAAATTTTAATTTTCATTATATTTTATTAATAAATTTAGCTTTTAAATTATTACTTTTAATTATTATTATATTTTAAATTTTATTTATAAAATTATTTTAATAAAAAATTTTTTTTGGAAAATTTTTTATATATTTTTATAATAATAATTTATAATATAATTTTAATTTTTAATTTAATTTTAATTAAAATATTATTAATATTTTAATAGTAAATAATTTAATTAATTTATTTTTAAAAAAATTATATTTTAAGTATTTAAAAAAATAATTCAAGAAAAAATTTATTTTTTTAAAAAAATAATAGAATCTTTTTATATAATAAAAATAAATTAATATATAAAAAGTATAATTATTTTTTTAATAAAAAAGTAATATAAAAAATCTTTTAAAATATAAATACTAATAATAATAATAATAAAAAAATAAAAAAACTTTATTATTTAATTATATAATAATTATTAAAATAATCTAATTATAATATTTTTTAAGATTAGTAAAATCTTATTAATATTAGAAAAATATATATATTTTAATTCTATATAAATTTCTTTTTATTATCTTTAATTTAAAATTAAAATTAAAATTTATTTAATTAATTAATTTATATATATTATTAAATATATAAATAATTTTATAATTTATAAAAATTATTAAAGATAATTTAGTAAAATTATAAAGAATAATTTAAATAAAGAGAGAAAAATATTATAATAATATATTAGAAATTAAGTTTATTAATAAGATATAATAAAATTTATAATTTTATTAATAAATAATTTCATTTTTATATTAAAATAAAATTTATAATTTATAATTTAATATATTTTTTTTGACTTTTTTTTTGAAAGAATTATTTAATTATTAAGTTATTATAAAAATTTAAAAATAAAAAATATTTATTAATAAAATTATAAATTTTAATATAAAGAGAAAATTTTAATTTTTATTATATTTTATTAATAAATTAAATTTTCTTTTGATTAAATAATCATAATTTGATTAGATATAACTAAGATAAAATTTATTTATAAATAATAATTAAATAATATAAGAAAAATTAATAAACAAAAATAATATAACTATATTAACTAAAATAATTAAATTAATAAAATTAAAGAAGCTTAAAGTATTTATAAAAATATATTTTATTTATAGAATTGAATAATTAATTATATAATTAATAAAATAAATTATATATAATAATAATAAAAAATAATAATATTATAAATTATGAATTAATGATCTTTATTAATAATATTTTACTAAATTCATATTTATTATTATATATTTTTCTTTTATTATAATTCCAGATCTCATTCTAGCTAACTATATCATAAATATATCCTTGCTATTTATCTTTAGATTGTTATGAAATGAATATATAATTTGATTTGTATAATAAAATAACTTAATAATAATAGCAGTACTAATCTATTTCACTTTGATTTGCTAAGAACTAATCCATGTTAATGTGCTTTCAGTTTATTAATGGCATATCAATTCATCTTTACCTTTGATTTGTTAAAAACTAATCATGTTAATGTGTTTTTAGTTTTATTAAAATATTGATCCACATCAAATTGGGATTTTAGTTTTTCTGAAATCACTATCGCTATTATTCTCATCATCATTCTTATCATTGTCATCATTATTACTAACTAATGATAAACATATATGTGAATCAATAAAAAATGCATTATCTAATATTAGCTTACAGCAAATTTAAAGATAATTATTACACATGATTTTAATATGAAGTGCAACTTCAATGTACTTGATCGATTTCCTTAATAAGAAATCGCGTTTATTATGTAGCGAAATAACACAAAGTATTGATTTTATCATCCAAATTTGGCCGGTCTGTACCGACCATAAGATTTCCCTGGCAGATTACTTATGTCATATCAATATGCATTTCGCCAAATTGAACTGCAAAATTCTAACTGCCAAATTCACCTAGATCTACCATGAAAGCAATTAAAGGTGGTTTAGATAATATCAGTAACGACTTACGCAGAAACTTGAACGCTGTTAATCCACATTTGGGCAATCCACACCTGAGCAAGTTGCTCACTTCCGAAAAAGCCATTTGGAATAGTTTGAGTACTTGGTCTTATGAACATAACGAGTCGTCAAAGTACCTGGTGGCTTGGGGAAAAAGTGAAGGAAATGACTTGAACGATGTCACGGAAAAACTTGCTTATTTGATTGCTAAAATGTCTGAGGTTGAGGGTGTACTTGGTAAGCTGTAACGTTACTTTTTGGGCTTGGGTTTCGTCCTTGGATTTTCCCTCAAACACATAACCTAAATAGTGATGAATTACTGTTGTCTTTGCTCACAGCCGACAAGTACTCCCAATATCGTACACACCTAAAGGATATACGTACACGAGAATCCTCGATAAAAGACCAACGCTTCAAAAAAGAATCATACTGGTCGAAAATTGAGAAGGAAGAACGACGCGCTAGTACTTCGAAACATCCGGAAGCGAACCAAGCAATAATTGCAAAATATCATAAGGAACTCGAGAAGTTGGAAAAAGAATCGATTATTGGTTTGTATTTTTTGTGATTTTATCATGTTATTTACATTTGTCGGATCTATCAATAGTTGTTGATGTTTTTTGATCGCACGCGTATTTTTAGAAGAAACCGCGTTAGCAGATTATAAACGCGAAAAATTACGCGAGGCGCTATTATTGCAGATGGAGGCATTACATGAGTTTTCATCGAACATGCTCATATTGTCGGAGTTTAGCAAGGAGATCATCAAGCAGATTCCATTGGAAAAGATGGAACCGGGAGAACCAAGAGCTTATAATGGTAAATATTAATTTTCAATTAAATTATAAATTGATTTTCACGCAATTTTTTTTTGAATTCAATTCAGGACAGGAAAAAACTTTAGAAGCTGTCAAAAATGCCATAGCTGCGCTTGGAGACTGGAAACCTCCACAGGATCATCGGCCTATTCCTCCACCACGACCTCAAATTTCACCCAATTTAGTACCTTCTCAAGTCGAAACAAAACTTCCACCATCGTCATCATCTTCATTATCAGATACAAAAACGCCTTCTCATGGACTTGAAATTCCGTCTATAGACCATAATAAGGATGATAGCGATGAGATTGAAGAACCTTTCCAAGATTTTAAAAATATCTCAGAGAGAGGTTCTTTAGGGGGTGATTCATCAAACGAAGCAGATCAAAGTGATCTTGAACAAACAGATGTTACAGACATAGAAGGGGAAAAAAGAATGGCATTTACTGCATTTTCTCCTCCGCTTTCCCCTGTACGTCCGAATTTACAAGTTCATTCTGATACACCATACATAGTGGAACTGGCACCTTCTGTGAATCTAATTCCTCAAACTGCTGAAATTAATGAGGTGTCATTATCTGAACCAATAGCGATTACAGAATTGAATTCTTCTACGGCTATTGCGTCATCAAATACCGAGAATATAATAGAAACACCTAATAATAACACGAATGAGACAGACGCAACGACGAAAACCACCGAAAATGCTGTTATCGTACCTTCAGATTCCACACAGACTGATAATAATACGATACAACAGACATCTGATCCCCCTCCATCCAATTCTGTAATAACAAATGGATCGGAAGAGGAAGATCAGCGTGATAGACTCGTTCCGCCACAAAACATTAACAAAAAGGCGATTAAACACGTACAATTTAGTGACATTGAAGATGAAATACCATGATTGATTTTATTTTCACTATAGTAAAAATAGACTCTCCCATTTCCCTTTTTTCACATATTCTAAGCATCAACTATACACACAAATAAATAGTCAATATCAATTGGAATACATTTTTATAATAAATAAATAATACATCGTAAATAGTTTTTCTTTGCATTAAATACCAACACAAACCTTTTTTACCAATTGCTAAAATCAGTAAAGCGATATCCCGTTGGTTTTGGTTTTTTTGAAGTATGAACTATCAAATCCTCTTCCTCGTCCAAATTTGCATCTCGCTTCTTAGCAACAGACGATGATTGCAAATATTTCCCAACACCACTTTCTGTTGTATTGGAGCCAGTTGATCGATTTAAAGATGTCCCAAACCACGTTGTAGTATCCTTTCAAATTAATGACAGTCAGTCAATTTGAAGTTGAACTAAAGAGCAAGGAGCATTTGAAGATTATCATCACAAACCTTTTCAGATTTGACATTAGAACGTGTCCTTCCTGATTCTGCATTGTTTCGCTCTAATTTTTTTTGTAATTTTTTCTTATACTCTTCGAAAGGATTCACAAATACAATTGTGTCAATCATTTTTATTTCTTGCAACGGACGATCAGCTTCATCCGTGGAAATTGATTCCATTTTGTCGAGGACTTCCTTTCCTCCGACAATTTTACCGAAAATTGTATGTTTATTGTCAAGATGTGTGCAAGGTCGAAATGTGAAAAAGCTAAATGAAATCGAATTATTAGCAAAGAATTAATTAAACGAAATCTTTAACAACAAAAAGTGAAATTCTAAAATTGATACTTGCAATTGTGAAGAATTTGTGTTCTTGCCTTTATTCGCCATACTAAGAAGCCCACGTTCATTATGTGATAAATTGCTCTTAAATTCGTCAGCAAAATCTTTTTTCCAAAAAGATTCACCTCCTTTACCAGTCCCGGTAGGATCACCACCTTGAATCTATCAAATTATCGTCTTGAAATCTTACCAAATAAAAAATCATCAACTCTTTTCGTGGGACTTACCATGAAATTCTTGATTTTACGATGAAATATAACATTTTTATAGTACCCCTGCTTTGATAACATTATAAAGTTATAACATGTACGTGGGGACTGGAAAAGATAAAAAAAATTAGAAAATGAACGATAATCCAAGATCTTTTACTCCTCAAAATCCAAACTTACCTTATTACAAAAAAGTTCAACGTTAATATTTCCGAGATTTGTAACTATTCGAACATACCCTTTTTCCTTGATTTCCTTAAACATGAATTCCTCTTCGTCTAATAAAGCCGCGATGTTTTCTGTTACCGGGTCCATTGCAGTAGATGTAAACGAAGCTGCTGCCATGCCTGTGGAGTAATGTGCTGCATTATATGGTGTTTTTTTTGATTTCTTTGTGTTAGATTCAGTTTTTATAACTGATGTATCTTCATTCTATTATTTTAAAATTATTTCATAAATTGTCATTCCCTCACTCAGGATAATTCATAACGAATTGAAGAACAAACCTTTTTAGAAATATTTTCCAAGACTTTTCCCGCGGAGCCAGTTGCCTTAACATTTATATCATATAAAGGATTTTGTTTTGCCTTTTCCTCTTCTAACGACATGAAGGTAATCAGTTTAATTAAGTACAAAACAAAAGAAAAAAATCGCTTAAATTATGTGGAAAAATATAAGAAACCTTCATCAACGACTTTGATATCATTTTTCAGATAATAGAAATTGGATAAATTACGTGCCTCAAGATTATGAGGATCCTAAAAAAAAAATGATTCATTTAATAAACAATAATAATTCCATGCTATCTTATACAAGCAAAATATTATAAAACAATAAAGACGATAACATTTACTTGTATTGTGATGATATCTTTTCGTGTGAAAGGTTCGTCAGTAAGCAAATCCCTCCAATTTTTTGCTTTGATATTCAATCGCTCGACTGCTTCCCAAGAAAATACATTTCCAGTAGTTTTAATTGCCACAATGTGTGTATGGTCCGAAAATACCTTAAATGTGGAGGGACAATGATATTCGTCTGCAAAAAGTTTTTTAGAGTTTTATTAATTACAGCACAAATTATAACATAAAGAAGAATAAAATAAAACCTTTTCAATCACCATTAGCATTTTTAAAGAAGTTCAACTTAATCAGTGATTTCAGTTCAAGTTTTTCCCCTGTAACAGGATTTGTTCCGTGTTTTTTTATATAGGCATAAATATTTCTATATTGAATTGTAATATCGTGAGAAAGGTAAGAAGGAAACATAAACAATCTCTCTGATAACGAAAAAAGATATTTACGTCATATCAAAAATTGTACCATCAGGAGTACAATAAGGGTACTCAAATGGTTGTAAAGACAAAGAACAACAGTAAAAGGGAAGCCGCCTAAATGTCTCCGTCTGTTTTCTGGCCTGAATTCCACCAAACTGCATTCCACCGAACTCACCCGACCATTCTACAAAAAAGGCATAGTGAGCACACCTGGAACCAACAGCCACCTCGTCAAGTGATAGGATTATATGCGAAACCTACCAGAGTGAGTAATGTACCTATGGTGGTGAAGAGAGCGATAAATTAACAAGACTGTGTAGGAAACGTTTCTTTATTGAATAAAACACCCACATTTTATCCGTTCCTTTACCCATTTTCGAAAAGCTATAGAAATGTGTGATGGAGTGAACGCCGGTGGTAAAAAATTGCAAATCGCTGACTTTAATTTTTCGAATTTGTAGCCCTTATATAATTTATTACAGAACATCACGTGAATTATTACAAATATTAAAATAACTCCGAGTTGATAGTAAATGACAAGTTCCCGTCAGGCTAGCGTAACAGTCCTCCTTTTCAGCTTTATTTTTTTTTATGCTCGAGATTTTATTAAACATGAATGTCGAAGAAATTACAAAGCTTAAAAATGAATTCAATAAAGCCATTTCAGGTGGCAGGGAACCTGTGAGTGTTTTTATTAGTAATCGTGGCGTAGAACTCGAGTATTCTCAGCTTTCTTATTTCTATGATGACAATTCTTTAAGGTTGCAATCGATATTCTTAAAAAATTAAAGGCAGAAGTTAATGCTACCAAGGATTTACTGAAGGTGAGTATTCGTGGTAAGAATGCTTTTCACCGTAATGACAAAGTTCTATGCTGACTTTGGATAATGCAAAGAAAACTGAAATCGGAGTTTGCGTCAACAAACAAAAAACACACACCAATCCAAACATTGCCAATCTTGCCAAAGACATTGTGAAAAAGTGGCGAACCGACGTTCAAAATGATGAAAAAGTAAAGAAAAATAAAACCCATGAAGTTCGCCAAGCGAATGGTGCACCAGCGAACGCGAAACAATCAGTCACCAACAATAAACAAACTTCTAATGGTTATTCGAAACCCGTTCAGTCACATAAAGTTCAAAGATCTAATTCTCAAAGCTCTACTGCTCCAACGCCGGCCACTTCATTACCGAATACGCCTTATTCAGATGGCGGTGGCGGCGAAAGGAACTTCAATTCAGATGGTGTCAAAATTGATTCATCTATTGACAAAAAACGTAGTAAGATGATTGAGATTTTATATAATGCTCTTGTTTTTGATTCTCTTGTGGGTAGGTTAATGTCTTTTTGTTCAATCATGATGAGATTGTTTTTATTTTCTAATCGTAGATTTATAGATTATATTCACTCGTGCTATACATAAATAAATATATAAATAATTTAGATTCTTCGATAATTCTTTCAAAAGCGACTGAAATCGAGGAACAAGTGTACAGGCAATTTAATAATACGGATAAAGAGTACCGTGAGAAATTACGAGGCTTGATATTCAATTTAAAAGATCGCTCGAACCCCAGATTAAGATGTAACGTAGTAGATGGCGAGCTGGCAGTTCAAAGATTGTGCACTATGTCAAAACAGGTTTGGAAAAAGAATTTACATCTAATATCCATCTCTCCTTTTATCATTCCCTCAATTTGTATCCATTTTTTTTTAAAAAAAAAAAAGGAAATGGCATCAGAAGAAAGAAAAGCTAAAGATGCTAAAATACGAGAGCAGCTCCTTTTCAAAGCCCGTGGTGCGGGTCAACAAGAAGCTGAAACCGATGCTTTCAGATGTGGAAAGTGCGGTCAACGTAAAACTACCTATTACCAAATGCAGGCACGTAATTTATGTGCATTTTATCACAAATTCGCGAAGATTTTCTAATTTATTTTATGCTTGGTTGAAATCAGACTCGAAGTGCTGATGAACCAATGACCACTTTTGTCACGTGCACTAACTGCAACAACCGATGGAAGGTAAGAGATAATTCGTTATTGTCGATGCTATTATTTGTTGTTTGATTTTTTTTCCTTTGCTTTCATTAGTTCTAAGGACAAAGTTTTGTCTTCTGTCTGGATGGCGTTCAACAAATGATCTATCTCTGGTTTTTCAATTACGTTTCTAGTAATGATTTACTGAGAAGCAAGCAAAAGACGCGAATTCAATTGATTGCTCAAATCTGAGGAAAACAACCTCAATTTGATTATTTTTCCGCATTTTGTTATATATTTCTATCCATTCATATCTTTTATGAAAAATGGGTTTTTTGTTCTAGTTTTTCTCAAGGCTTTCAAGTTTTTTATTTTCTCGGGTAATTGTATCTTTTTAATACGGGAAGAACCTAAATTAAAAATTATTCGTAATTATGATTAATCAAGAATATCGAGTCAAATAATGTTATATATATACTTGTTTGAATTTAATAGACGTTCGTCAAATAAATATTACAATTGTTTAAATACTGTCACTTTGATAATGTTTACTCATAGGATACATTCTTAATGAGTTTAGCTCGCAAATCTTTTTAATAACAACTTACTATCACAACTGACCATATAAAAGTTATTCAAACGAAATTCAACATTCCCTTTTTAAGAAATGAGTCTCGACACTTTTTGCGGATCATGTGATTTATCGACCTGTTCCGATATCCTTCTTAAAATATTTCACCAATCAGATCGCAAGCTCGTGTGTTCCTTGCGAAATTCAAAATTTAAAAATTAAGAGAATCGATAAATCAGGGTCGGAAAAGAGGGGAACCACGTGCTCTCGCGAAGTTTCGAGACTCGGGCATCGTAGAAGACACGAAAAGATAAATATGATAAAAAATACTCCATTCTCGGAAGTTGTTGGAATGAATCGTATCATATCCAGGATAGAAAATATTATGTAAGAGCATGGAGTCTAAAACGTGATTAGAACCGTGATATCTATTTTTCAATCATACATTCAAACTATGTGCAATAATCATATGGTTGTTGCTTTCTTCGTAAAATATCAAAGGTCAATTTTTGATACAGGCAAGAATGATAGGCATTTCTATTCCTAGACTGATTTGTAAAAAAGCTGTACATCAATAGCTATTGATACCACTATTTACATCATAAATTTAGCTTTATGTGGTCAAAGAAAAGAAGACTTAAGAGAGTCTAAAAAAGTGAAGGCTTTGCTCCAAAGTCATAAACAAGAATACTAAATTTATTGAATATTCTAAAGATTACTAAAAATAAATTACAATGCGTGGGAAATATTTAAATTATCATTGTAGGTATTGGAAATTATAAGTACCATATATAAAGAACCTTATATTGAGATTCATGCAAAGAATAGGATGTTTGGTTCAGCTTTTGTTCACAACAGTAACCTTTCCTATGTTCAAGGACGGACAGACACTTCATTTATTGGAGAGACGATTGGTGATTTCCTTGATAGCATAATTTCAAAATATGGTGACCGCCAAGCACTAGTTGTGAAACATGAAAATAACCTACATTGGAGCTATCGTCAATTTGGCGAACAAATTGATGCATTGGCTCGAGGCCTTTATAGAAGTGGCTTGCGGAAAGGCGATCGAATGTGTGTGTTTATGTTCAACAACAATTCTGCATGGGCTACGATACAATATGCCACAGCTAAAATTGGTGTAATCTTAGTGGCCATCAACCCATCTTACCAACTTTCTGAGATTAGACAAATTCTTAATGATGTTAGATGCAAGTCGCTTCTGCTTTCTTCGGATCCCAAATCAGCACGTTATATTGAGCTAATCAAAGACCTTATACCCGAGTTGAGTGCTTGCCAACCCAATGAATTGATCGCGGAAGCACTTCCGGAACTAAGGCAGGTTATTGTTGTGGATACACATCATCCCATAAAAGATTTTGAGAATTTTCGGGGAATTATACGGTTTCACGAGATGTTTGAAAGAAGTGTCTTGGCAAATGATGTGTTAACAGATGTCAAAAAGACTTTAAGCAACAAAGACATTATTACCATTCAGTTCACCTCGGGGAGCACAGGTATGATTTTCTTTAATTTCTACCCTATCGATATCTATATTTTATTATAATAAACACCAAATCACAGGCGATCCAAAAGGTGTTTCATTGTCACATCGTAATGTTCTCAACAACGCAAAGGTGGGTATTTGCGCGCCTATATTATAAGTGTTCTATATTATGATTTGAAAACTAACATAGCCCGCTATAGAGTATTGGTCATATCATGGGCCTTACACCGGATGATGTGTTATGTAGTCCATTTCCAGTATACCATTGTTCTGGTAAGACGCTTTGGGATTAAAATTACTTGTTGATATCAAACTATCCTAACACATTGATTTACATCTATAAGGTTTTGTTTTGAGTAACCTTGCAACTTTGAGCTATGGAGCTTCTGTCGTTTATCCAAATGGGGATTTTAATGCAGAGAAAATTTTGCGTGCAATCGAAGAAGAAAAGTGTACAGCCCTACATGGTGGTAATATACGTTTTTGCATTAACAGTCGATCATCTGAATTTCTAAGCATTTATGCGTGAAAGACTAATTTTCATTTCGACTAGCACCCACAATGTTTATTGAAGAGATGAATCATCCAAATTTTCATAGATTTGATTTAAGCAGTTTGAGGTTAGCGCTTTAACATTTTATTTACCATTAATCAACAGAAATTAACTATTTTGCGATTTTTTAGAACGGGAGTCATAGGCAGTGTACCTGTCCCTGTTGAAGTGATGAAAGCTATCTTAGACAAAATGCATTTGAAAGATTTGGTCATTGGGTATGGCATGACAGGTAGATTGGTGAAGAATGAATTTATTCTTATATTTCAGCATAATTCTCATAGATCTCGTTTGCTAGAAACGTCCCCAGTTTCTTTTGCGACCAGTCCAACAGATTCACTACAACGACGCGTTGAAACTGTTGGAACGATACTACCCCACATTCAGGCCAAGATCATTGATCCAGCTACGAATCAGATATTACCTGTGAATAAAACAGGAGAATTATGTGTGAACGGGTATTGCATTATGGAAGGCGGGTACTGGAATGATGAGGAGCGAACAAAAAAAACAATGAGTATTGACGAAAATGGTATTAAATGGCTTCATACAGGTAAGCCGAAATCAAACGTTTATATTACTGTTTGTATTTATTCTTTTATCTATTTATGTAGAATATTTTTATATTTGAATAGGTGATATTGGTAAAATTGATCAAGACGGATACTGTACGATTTTTGGTCGTATAAAAGGTGGATTTGAACATTCATTCGTTAAACTTTTCCATAATCATTGATTTATCGATTCTATAGACCAAATCTATTGTGGCAGTGAAGAAATATCACCATCCGAGGTTGAAAACATTATATTTCAACATCCTTCTGTTAAGCTTGTATCGGTGATAGGTGTACCTGATATGGTGTTTGGTGAAGAGATATGTGCTTGGGTAATTCCAAAGCACGGCGAGATTGTCAGTGCTGAGGAGATTCGGCGGTTTTGCGAGGATAAACTACCCGAATACAAAATACCCAAATATGTAATGTTTACGGAGAAATTTTCCAAAACAACGACCGGAAAAATTACGAAGTGCGCGCTTCGGGAACAGGCTCGGAAAATACTGCAGACATAATATTTTCATATTAAAAATGGATAAATAAATAAAATATATATACGCATGTTGTGCATTATTGTCTTAAGTAATGCGCATTTTTGGATCAATTTTTGACTTATCATTTGCCTATTGACACTTTAAATCCCGATTTTACATATTTTCGTTTTTTGTGGTAATTGGAAAATAAAAATATCATTCAACTATTTTTATTTATTCCATGCTTTTTTAGGACTTATGATCAATTATTCAATATATTAAGCACATCCGCCAGATTAAATTATTTAATTGACTTCTAGTCAAGATAAAACAGGTAAATTCGTAATCTAAAACTCTGTCCATCAAAGACAGCTATCCAGTTGCCGTCTGAACCACCATCATACTATCATTTGCCACGCATTAATTCCAATTTTTCGCGTGATTGAGACGATGTTATTATTTAGAGGATGTTATTATTTAGAGAATATTTATTGCATTCGAATTATCAAACTGAATTTTAACGATGTCGACAACTCAAACTGCGATAACATGATCATCATTCCATTCCGCAATATTTAATGATTTTAATGATTTTTATTAATATTCAATAATAAATTTATATTTGTGCATTCATTAACATAATAAAGTATACATTTCGAAATAAATAAAATCAAAAATTGGAAATGAAAAATTTATCTATTTAAATATAATTTTTATGAGCTATGCATTTTCTTTAAAAAGGGCGATTATAAAGGGGCAAGAAGTTTTGAAAGGTATTAACGAATTAAATAAATAATTAACTGTCACAATCACAATCGTTATCCTTGTAATATTCATCGATAAGGAAACGAGCGGCAGCAACTGCACGCTTCTTAATTTCTTCATTATCACCACGAATATGCTTGCTTGTAAACAAGCGATCAATTTCTTCTCTAGCAGTTTTTTCAACTTGTTTATGAGCTTCGACAGGATCATGAGGTTTAACCTGAGTAGTCTTAGAACGGCTGCAACGATATTTACGAAGAGCTTCATAAGATGCACCAACAACAAGTATTTCGGAATCAATCATTGTGGTAGTAGCGGTACTTTTAGATGAATGAATTACTTCTTGAATTTTTTCAAATTTAGCGGTATGAACAGATACGGCGTTTTCAATCAAGCAATTGCGCGAGATTTCTAATATTTCAATTTCTAATTCTTCATCTTTAATTTGCTGATGAATCCAATCCCGTGCACGTTTGTATTCATTTTGCCAATGTTGTTTATGTTGATCAAGAACTACCTCCAAGTAGACAAGAGTAAAAGCGGTATTCCAAACAGAAATATTCAAAGAACGAAGCCTTTCTTTTTGGATATGTTTGTAAATTGAAGAGCTAAATTCGGTGGATGAGATTATACGTAATTGTTTGAGAATAGATTCGTGAAGAATAAAGGAACCATCACTTTGTTGTGATTTAGTGAGTGTAGTTGCCAGCTCAACAGACGCAGATGTACGCAAAGAATTCAAGGCACTTTTTTCTAATTCGGGGTCATATTCGATTACTTGAGTTTCAATCTTAACATTTGAAGTAACTCTTTCAATGACTAATTTATCGGAAATCTGCAGAATTTCTTCTTCCAATTTTTCGTCTTGAATTTCGGTGCTGAGATATTTACGAGCTCGTTCATAATGAGATTTCCATACGGAATCGTGGACAACGGCTGTATTCTTTAGGTATGCAAGGGTGATTGCTGTTTTCCACCAAGCTGGCTTGGCAACTTGTTTAAGTTTCTCACTGACTTCGTATACTTCAATCGATTCGGTTAAGTTATCATTCCTAACATTAATTTGTTGAGAGACAGATTCATTAATTTCAAAAGATCCATCGTCTTTTTGTCCCAAGATTGCTTGCTGGGCAAGCTCGACGGGATAGGCCTTTTGGAGTTGAGTTAAAATTTCCATTTGTGTTTCGTAAGAATGAATTTGACGTAATTTATCTTTATGAACGACTGTACTTTGGGAAATTGCTTTATAGGTGATTCTTTCGACTACGTATGTGTTGGAAATCTGCAATAGTTCTTCTTCTAATTTAGCATCCTGAATTTGAGTGCTAAGGTATTTGTGTGCTTGTTCATATTTTTCTCTCCATACAGTATCATGAGCTCCGGCCGTATGTTGAAGGTATGCGAGAGTCATCGCAGTTGTCCACCATGAAGGCTTTGAGGATTGCTTAAGTTTTTCGCTGATTTGTTGATGTTGATGAATGGACGAAATTAAAGTTTCCGAGGAAGAAATATCAAGGGTCTTTGATAGTTCTGAACTTAATTCGAATGAACCATCGGCTTTATGAGATGAAACGATATTTTGAATAGTTTCAACCGATGTATTTTTAGCAACCTCCTCAATTACTTTTCTTTGTGTATCTTTCTCCTTGGCGGCTTCAAAGATAATTTTCTTCCGGGTGGTTCTTTCGACAACATATTTTTCGGAAACTTGAATAATTTCTTCTTCTAATTGAGCATCATTAATTTCATCGTGGAGATACTTTCGGGCACGTTCATACTTTTCATGCCAACGTTCTTCATGACCCGAGGAAACATGTTTAAGGAAGGCAAGAGTAACGGCAGTGGTCCACCAAGAAGGTTTGGATGATTTTCTAAGTCTCTCGCTAAATTGATGATATTCATGGATCGAAGTGACTAATGTTTCCGTGGAAGAAATATCAAGGTGTTCGGATATAACATGATTTAGTTCAAAGGATCCGTCGGTTTGTTGAGAAGTGATAACTTTTTGAGTAGTTTCGACTGTAGTTGTGGCTTGGATTTCTGAGAGGGTTTCTTTTTGTTTCTTGTTGTAATGCCAAAGAGCAACGCCACTAGCAGCGACTCCAATTCCAACTAGTCCAGCAGCAGCTTTTTCCAATATGGCGCTTTTCTTTTCTTCTTTCTCTACTTTAGTCTGCTGTGGTTTTGCGGTTACTTGTTGAACCTCAGTTTTTATAACCTGGCCTGCGTGGGAAATTTGTTGTTTAACGTTATCGACAGTTTGTCCGGCAATGTCAATTCCTTGTGTTACAGTTCCTTTAATAGTTTCACCGGTGCTGGAAATTTCTTGTTTAACATTATCGACAGTTTGTCCGGCAATATCAATTCCTTGCGTTACAGTTCCTTTAACTGTAGCAGCAGTTCCCTCCGCAACTTTGGTAGCTGCTTCTTTGGCATCGGTAGCGGCTTTGGTAATTCCCGAGGTTATTTTAGATACAAAAGATGATCCTTTTTCTATTAAGGTCTCCTCATGGACTTTAACAGCAGTTTCATTGACAGCTTTATGGGTAATTGTTTCGACTACATAAGTATTGGAGACTCGCAAGATTTCTTCTTCTAATTCAGCATTTTTGATTTCCGTGCTAAGGAATTTACGAGCTTGTTCATATTTCTCTTTCCAGATTTGATCATGGGTCGATGCTGTATTTTTGAGATATGCGAGTGTAACTGCTGTAGTCCACCAGGAAGGCTTGGCAGATTTTTTGAGAGTTTCACTGACTTTATGTTTATGGATTGAGGAAACCAAAGTTTCGGAAGAAGAAACGTTAAGATGGTCAGAAATTGCTTTACTCAATTCGAAGGAACCATCGGATTGTTGTGAAGAGATAATCGTTTCGGTGGTTGTAACTGTAGTTTTCTTCGCTACCTCTTGGATTACGGTTTTTTGTGTATCTTCGGATTTCACCACATCGCTAACAACTACTTTACGAGTAACCCTTTCTACTACGTAAGTTTCGGAAACTTTAAGAATTTCTTCTTCCAATTTTGCATCATTGATTTGTTGTTGAAGGTATTTACGAGCTTCTTCATATTTAACTTTCCAGTGTTGTTCATGAGCGGAGGAAATATGTTTGAGATAGGCGAGAGTGATTGCGGTTGTCCACCAGGATATCTTTGCTTTTTTCTTTAGGTTTTCACTAAACTCATATTTATAGATCGAGGCGACTAATGTTTCAGAGGAGGAAACATCAAGATGATCTGATATTTCCTTACTGAGCTGGAAGGAACCATCAGTTTGTTGAGTCGAGATAATAGTATTTGTCTTTTCAATTGTGGTATCGGATTGGACCTTAGTAATTGCTTCTTTTTGTTTTTCTTGAGATTTCCAGAGAGCGACACCTCCAATTGCTAAGCCAATACCGGTGACGCCTTTAGCAATATTCGATAGATTAAAGATGCTGTCCTTCTCTTTTTCTTTCTTTTTCTCTTCAAGATGTTCTTGATGGACTGCGACAGCAGTATGAGTAACAGCAGTTTCGGTAATTTTTTCTACTACATATTTCTTGGACACGTGTAATATTTCTTCTTCTAATCTGGTGTCATTGATTTCTTGTTGAAGATATTTGCGCGCCTGTTCGTATTTAGCTTTCCAGACCGAATCATGAGCCGTAGCTGTAGTTTGCAAGTAAGCGATGGTAACTGCTGTAGTCCACCAGGAAGGTTTAGCGGATTTCTTTAACTTGTCGCTAATTTGATATTTATGTATAGAGGCAACTAAAGATTCAGATGAGGAAACATCAAGAGTCTCGGATATTTCTTTACTTAATTCGAAAGCGCCGTCGGTTTTTTGATAAGTAACGATGTTTTGAGTGGTATCGACTGTAGTTTTGTCGGAAATTGCTTTAATTACGGTCTTTTGTGTGTCTTGAGAACTTGCAGCCTTATTGACAACTACTTTACGGGTAATTCTTTCAATTACATAGATCTCGGAAACCTTCAGAATTTCTTCTTCTAATTTAGTATCTTGAATTTGAAGGCTTAGATATTTACGAGCCTCCTCATATTTAGATTTCCAGTGTATCTCATGAGCAGAAGATACATGTTTAAGATAGGCGAGAGTGACCGCAGTTGTCCACCAAGAAGCCTTTGCAGAATTTTTGAGTTTCTCGCTTATTTGATAATGATAAATAGTAGCAATTAACGTTTCGGACGATGAAATATCGAGATGTTCAGAAATTTCTTTGCTCAATGTGAAGGAACCATCTGTTTGTTGAGTTGAGATGATCGACTGCGTAGTATTAATGGTAGTTTTTGACTTGACTTCTGAAAGTGCTTCTTCTTGCTTGTCACGAGATTTCCAGAGAGCAATTCCGCCAATTGCTATTCCAAGACCAGCTGCAGCTTTCGTGATGTTAGATACGTTGAAAAGACTTTTCTTCTCTTTCTCTTGTTCTTTATGAGCTTGAACGGCAGTTTGATAAATGGCTTTGTGAGTAACTTTTTCGACGACATAAGTGTTGGTTACTCGCAAGATTTCTTCTTCAAGCTTAGCATCATTAATTTCTTTGGTCAAATATTCACGGGCTTTATCATACTGAGCTTTCCACACAGCATTATGAGGAGTGGCGGTGTTTTGTAGATAAGCGATGGTAGTAGCAGTTGTCCACCATGAAGCCTTAGCAGTTTGCTGGAGTTTCTCGCTAACTTGATGTTTAGTTTTGACCGAGGTAATTAATGTTTCGGACGAGGATACATCGAGGTGTTGAGAGATTGATTCGTTCAATTCGAAAGAACCATCCGAGTGTTGAGAAGTGAAAATCTTTTGAGTGATAGAATTATTCGACTTTTTCTTGATTGCTTCTAACACAGTTTTTTGTGTTTCTTCTGATTTGGCGACTTTATTTACTATTACTTTACGGGTAACTTTTTCAACAACATAGGTCTCGGAAACCTTGAGGATTTCTTCTTCTAATTGGGTGTCATTAATTTGTTGATGAAGATATTTGCGAGCTTCGTCGTGTTTAACTTTCCAGTGTTCTTCGTGATGAGTTGAAGCATGCTTAAGATAGGCAAGAGTAACGGCAGTTATCCACCAAGAATCCTTTGCGGATTTTCGAAGTTTTTCGCTAAATTCTTGATGTTGAATAGAGGAAACTAAGGTTTCAGATGAAGAAACATCCAGATGTTCAGAAACCACTTTATTTAATTCGAAAGATCCATCTGATTTTTGTGTTGAGATAATGGAGTTTACAGTATCGACAGTTGTTTCTTTTTGTATCTCTGTTAAAGCTTCTTTTTGTTTGTCTTCATGCTTCCAGAAAGCGATTCCACCTATTGTTAATTCGAGATTAGCAATAGCTGTCTTTGCAACATTTGATATATTGAAGATTGAATCTTTCTTTTGTTCCTGAATATGCTCTTCGTTAACTTTAACAGCAGTATGTGAAATAGCAGCTTTAGTGACTTTCTCAACGACATATTTATTCGAAACCTGCAAGATTTCTTCTTCTAATTTAACATCGTTAATTTGTTGATGAAGATATTTACGAGCTTCTTCGTATTTGGCCTTCCATACCGAGTCATGAGTTTTAGTAACATGTTGAAGATATGCGATAGTAACGGCGGTTGTCCAGCAGGAAGCTTTTGCAGTCTTTTTAAGAGTCTCACTTACTTGATGATTTTGATAAATAGAAGTGACCAAAGTTTCCGAGGAAGAAACTTCAAGATGCTTCGATATTTCTTGACTTAGCTCGAATGAACCATCGGTTTTATGAGACGAAACGATAGCTTCTGCAGTATTAACAGATGTCTTTTTAGCGACCTCTTCAATGACTTTGTTTTGTGTTTCTTCTGATTTCGAAGCTTCCTGTACTACTACTTTCTGAGTTATACGTTCGATGACGAAAGTTTCGGATACCTTCAAAATTTCCTCTTCTAAGTGGACATCGTTGATTTGATGATGTAGATATTTGCGGGCTTCCTCATATTTTGTTATCCAGTGTTCTTCATGATCTGAGGATGTTTGTTTAAGATATGCGATCGTGACAGCAGTTGTCCACCAAGCTGTTTGGGATTTGTTTTTAAGTTGCTCGCTGAATTCATATTTGTATATGGAATCAGTTAAAGTCTTCGAAGAGGAGATATCCAGGTTCTCGGAAATGACTTTACTCAACTCGAAAGATCCATCTAATTTTTGATGGGAGATGATTGATTGTGTAGTGTTCACTGTGGTTTTAGATTTAATCTGATTAATTGCTTCTTTTTGTTTTTCATGAGATTTCCAGAGAGCAAATCCACCGATAGCTAGACCAAGACCGACCCCAGCCTTGGCGAGGTTTGACAAGTTAAATAAGCTATCCTTCTTTTCTTCCTCATGATGCTCTTTATGAACTTGTACTGCTGTTTGGGACACTGCTTTGTGAGTAATCTTTTCGACTACATATTTATTGGATACTTCAAGGATTTCTTTTTCTAATTCTGTATTTTTGATTTCAGCACTTAGATATCTTCGAGCTTTCTCGTATTGAGTTTTCCATGCAGTGTGATGAGAAGTTGCGGTATTTTGAAGATATGCAATAGTGATAGCAGTTGACCACCATGAAGCTTTGGCAGATTTCTTGAGTTTTTCGCTTACTTGATGAGACGATGTAATTGAGGTAACCAAAGTTTCCGACGATGATACATCAAGGTGTTCCGAAACAACTTTACTTAATCCGAAAGAACCATCAATTCTTTGAGAGGAGGCGATTACTTCAGCTGTATCTTCCTTTGTCTTTGACCGGACTTGTTCGATTACAGCCTTTTGAGTATCCTGAGATTTAGTAGCTTCTTTGACGACTTCGTTTCGAGTGATTTGTTCCACTACATAAGTGTCGGAAACATTAACAATTTCCTCTTCTAATTGTGAATCCTTAATTTCGTTTTTCAGATATTTAAGGGCTTCGTCATATTTGGCTTGCCATTCTTCTTTATGCGTGCTTGCTGCTTTTTTGAGGTATGCGAGTGTAACTGCTGTTGTCCACCATGAAGGTTTGGCGATCTTCTTGAGTTTTTCGCTAGTTTCATAATGATTAATTGATGAAACCAAAGTTTCAGAGGAGGATACATCCAGATGCTCTTGAACTACTTTGCTCAATTCGAATGACCCGTCTTTTCGTTGAGATGAGACAATTGATTCCGTAGTTTCTTTAGTAGTTGCTGATTGAATTTTTTCAAGAGCTTCTTTTTGTTTATCTTGAGATTTCCACAAAACAAATCCATCTGTTGTTAATCCAAGTCCATGACTTACGTTCTTAGCAAGGTTGGATAAGTTGAAAAAGCTCTCTTTTTCTTTCTTTTCAGCTTCTTTCTTCTCTTCAACAACTGCTTTGGCAGCAGTTTTAGAAATAACCTTTTGAGTAATCGTTTCAGTTGCATATGTATTAGAAACTCGTAAGATTTCCTCTTCAAGCTGAGCATCATTGATTTCTTTCTTTAGATATTCACGGGCTTTGTGATACTGTGCTTGCCAGACAGCATTATGATGAGATGCGGTATTTTGTAGATATGCAATGGTGACAGCGGTTGTCCACCACGAAGATTTGGAAGACTTGAGTAGTTTTTCGCTCACTTGGTGTTTATTTTTTATCGAGGTAACTAATGTTTCGGACGAGGATACATCAAGATGCTCCGCAATTACTTTATTTAATGTGAAGGATCCGTCGGAATATTGAGAGGAGGCAATATTTTGGGCGGTATCAACCGTAGTCTTTTTAGCGATTTCTTGAATTACAGTTTTTTGTGTTTGTTCCGATTTAGATGCTTGATTGACGACTACTTTCTGAGTGACTCGTTCGACTACATATGTCTCGGAGACATTGAGGATTTCTTCTTCCAATTTTGTATCATTGATTTGCTGATGAAGATATTTACGGGCTTCCTCATATTTAGCTTTCCAGTGTGCTTCGTGATGAGACGAGGTTTGTTTTAGATAGGCTATGGTGACGGCAGTTGTCCATAAAGATTTTTTAGATAATTTTTTAAGCTTCTCGCTTATCTCGTAATGATGAATAGTTTCTACAAGTGTTTCAGAAGAGGAGACGTCCAAATGTTCAGAGATAACTTTGCTAAGTTCAAATGATCCATCTTTTTTCTGCGATGAGATGATTGATTGAGTGGTGCTGATTGTTTGTTTTGCTTGAATTTCAGCTAGGGCATCTTTTTGTTTATCATGCGATTTCCAACTAACAATGCCACCGATGGCTAAACCAAGTCCAGCAGTTGCTTTCGAAATATTTTCAAATGACAATAAACTTTCTTTCTCTTTCTTTTGCTCAACCAAATGATGCTCATCCAATTTAGCCGCAGTATTTGAGATAGTCGTTTCGGTCACCTTTTGGACAACATATTTATTTGAAACCTGCAAAATTTCTTCTTCTAATTTCTCATCATTAATTTCTTGACGAAGATATTTTCGCGCTTCTTCATATTTAGACTGCCAAACAGAATCATGAACAGTGGCAGTATTTCGGAGATAAGCAAGAGTAACTGCGGTTGTCCACCAGGATGATTTTGCTTTTTTCAAAGATTCGCTGATATCATGTTTCTGAATATTGGCGATCAATGTTTCGGTTGAAGATACATTAAGACGGTCAGCTACTTCTTTGTTTAATTCAAATGAGCCATTAGATTGTTGTGACGAGATAACCGATTGAATGGTATCAACAGTAGTCTTTTTAGCGATTTCTTGAATAACAATTTTTTGTGTTTCTTCTGATTTTGCAGTTTCTTTAGTAACGACTTTTTGAGTTGCTCTTTCGACCACATATGTTTCTGAAACCGTTAATATCTCCTCTTCTAAATGTTCGTCATTAATTTGTTCATGAAGATATTTACGAGCTTCTTCATATTTAGCTTTCCAGTGTTCTTCGTGATGCGATGCAACCTGTTTAAGATAAGCAAGAGTAACTGCGGTAGTCCACCAGGATAGTTTTGCTTTTTTCTTTAAGGTTTCACTAACTTCTTGTTTATGAATAGTAGTAACTAAAGTTTCCGAAGAAACATCGAGATTTTCTGATACAACTTTGCTTAGCTCAAATGAGCCATCGGATTTCTGTAAGGAGATAATATCTTGCGTAGTTTCGACGGTGGTAGTTGATTGGATTTGATTAAGAGTTGACTTTTGCTTATCACGCGATTTCCAAGGAAGCATTCCACCAACCGATAAACCAAGATTTGTCGCTGCTTTAGTAATATTGCCGAAAGATAATAAACTATCTGTTTCTTTTTTCTCCTTTTCTTTCTTTTCTTCTTCGTGAACAGTGTGAGAAATAGCTTTTTGGGTAACTTTATGAACTACGTAAGTGTTGGTTACTCGCAAGATTTCTTCTTCAAGCTTAGCATCGTTAATTTCTTTGGTCAAATATTCACGGGCTTTATCATACTGAGCTTTCCACACAGCATTATGAGGAGTGGCGGTGTTTTGTAGATAAGCGATGGTAGTAGCAGTTGTCCACCATGAAGCCTTAGCAGTTTGCTGGAGTTTCTCGCTAACTTGATGTTTGGTTTTGATCGAGGTAATTAATGTTTCGGATGAGGATACATCGAGATGCTGGGAAATTATTTTGTTCAATTCGAAAGAGCCATCCGAATGTTGAGAAGTGGTGATTACTTGTGCGGTATTGGCAGTCGTTTTTTTCTTAATTTCTTCTAGTACAGTTTTTTGTGTTTCTTCTGATTTGGCGACTTGATGAACAACGGATGTTTCTGTTACTTTCTCAACCACAAATTCTTCAGATACTTTCAATATTTCATCCTCTAAAGTTGCGTCATTGATTTGTTGACTAAGATATTTGCGAGCTTCATCGTATTTCACTTTCCAATGGGATTCATGTGCAGAAGAGGTTTGCTTCAAATAGGCAAGGGTAACTGCAGTTGTCCACCACGAGTTTTTAGCTATTTTACGGAGTTTTTCGCTATATTCACGCTTGTTAATAGATGTGACTAACGTCTCCGAAGATGACACATCCAGATGCTCTGATACTACATTGCTTAAATCGAAAGATCCATCTTTTCGTTGATACGAGATAACTGCTTGTGTAGTTTCTACGGTAGACTTTGATTGAATTTCTTTAAGAGCTTCCTTTTGTTTTTCGTGAGATTTCCAGAGGACAGCACCTCCAATTGCTAAGCCAAGACCGGTAGCAGTTTTCGCGATATTAGATAAATTGAAAATACTTTCTTTCTGTTTTTCTTCTTTCCTTTTAATTTCCTCATGTTGATGTTCTTCATGAACTTTATCTGCTGTATGAGAGATAGCTTTATGAGTGACCTTTTCGACTACATAAGTATTTGTAATTTGCAAAATTTCTGCTTCGAGCTGAGTATCTCTGATTTCTTCAGTAAGATATTTGCGAGCTTGGTGATATTGTGCTTTCCAGACGGCATCGTGAGGAGTGGCGGTGTTTTGTAAGTATGCGATAGTGGTTGCAGTTGTCCACCAAGAAGGTTTGGCGGATTTCTTGAGTTTTTCGCTTACTTGATGAGATGATGTAATGGAGGTAATTAATGTTTCGGTTGAGGATACATCGAGATGTTCGGATATTTTTTTACTTAATTCAAAGGATCCGTCCGAATGCTGAGACGAAATAATGGTTTGAGTTGTATCAACAGTAGTCTTTTTATTTATTTCTTCTAATACGGTCTTTTGGGTATCTTTAGATTTAGATGCTTCATTGGTGACTACTTTTTGAGTAATTCGTTCCACAACATAAGTCTCAGAAACTTTGAGGATTTCTTCTTCTAACTTAACATCTTTAATTTGTTGTTGAAGATATTTACGGGCTTCCTCATATTTAGCTTTCCAGTCTTCTTCATGATGAGACGAGGTTTGTTTTAGATAGGCTATGGTAACAGCCGTAATCCACCAAGAGGGCTTGGCAGATTTAAGCTCTTTGCTAATTTCGTATTTATGAATTGAAGCAACCAAGGTTTCGGAAGAGGAAATATCCAAGTTTTCTGATACCACTTTATTTAATCTAAATGATCCATCTTGTTCTTGTGAGGCGATTATTGTATTTACCGTTTCAACTGAGGTCTTGGACTGAACTTCTTTGATAGCATCTGTTTGTTTTTCACGTGATTTCCAAAAAGCTAACCCATTAACTGTTGTAAGTCCTAGGTCAACAGTTGTTTTTGCCAAGTTAGATAAATTAAAGAGACTATTTTTTTGCGTTTCAGCGTGATGTTGATCTTGAATTTTGGCCTCAGTTTGATATATGACTTTGTGGGTAATTTTCTCGACGACATGAGTATTAGTTATTCTTAAAATTTCCTCTTCGAGTTGAGCATCGTTAATTTCTTTAGTTAAATATTGACGGGCTTTATGATATTGCTCTTTCCATACAGCATTATGAGGAGTAGCAGTGTTTTGTAGATAAGCGATAGTAACAGCAGTTGTCCACCATGAAGCCTTAGCAGTTTTCACGAGTTTCTCGCTAACTTGATGTTTAGTCTGAATAGAAGTAACCAAAGTTTCGGCCGAAGAAACTTCAAGATGCTCAGAGATCACTTTATTCAATTCAAATGAACCATCAGATTGCTGTGAAGAAATTACGGTTCGAGCGGTATCAACGGTTGTCTTTTTGCTAATTTCTTCTAATACAGCTTCTTGTGTTTCTTTAGATTTTACGGCCTGATTGACGACCACTTTACGCGTAACGCGTTCTACGACATAAGTCTCGGAAACTTTGAGGATTTCTTCTTCTAATTGCGTGTCATTAATTTGTTGATGTAGATATTTACGAGCTTCTTCATAATTAAGTTTCCATTGAGATTCGTGGTGAGATGCAGTTTGTTTAAGATAAGCAATAGTTACTGCAGTTGTCCACCATGAGACGCGTCCAGTACGTTTTAGTCGTTCAGTAAGTTCGTATTTGTGAATAGAAGATACTAAGGTTTCTGATGATGATACATCCAAGTGTTCAGACACTACTTTGTTAAGTTCAAAGGAACCGTCTGATTTTTGTGATGAAATGATAGTTTTAGCGGTTTCGATTGTTGTTTTAGATTGAACTTCGCTGATAGCTTCCTTTTGTTTATCGTAGGATTTCCAGAGAGCGACCCCGCCTACGGTAGCTAGTCCTAGGCCGATAGTAGATTTTGCAATGTTGGAAAGATTGAAGAAATTTTCTTTCTTTTCTTTTTCTATTTGTTCTTTATGAACTTCGTTAACAGTCTTAGAGACAGTTTTTTGAGTAACTTTTTCAGCGACATATTCATTTGAAACCTGTAAAATTTCATCTTCCAAAGCAACATTATTGATTTCCTTTTTAAGATATTCACGAGCTTGTTCATATTTAGATTTCCATAAGGCATCGTGAGTTGATAAATTCTTGAGATACGCGATAGTAACTGCAGTTGTCCACCAGGAAGATTTGGCAGATTTTTTGAGATTCTCACTAATGTGATGTTCCTGAATTGAATTTACTAGAGTTTCGGAAGAAGAAACACCAAGTTGTTCCGATACTTCATTGGTTAAATCAAAAGATCCGTCAGTTTTTTGCGAGGAAACGACCTTCTTAGTGGTTTCTTCAGTGGTCTTGGATGCTATTTCTTTGATTACTGCTTTTTGGGCTTCTGTTGATTTTGCAGTTTCTTTAACAACATATTTTTGCGTCACTTTTTCAACTACATAAGTTTCGGAAACTTTGAGGATTTCTTCTTCTAACTGAGAATCATTAACTTCTTGACGAAGGTATTTGCGTGCAGCTTGGTATTGTGCTTGCCATTCTGTTGTATGCACTGAGGTTTGTTTTAGATACGCGATAGTAACTGCAGTTGTCCACCACGAATGCTTAGCTGATTTTTTAAGTTTCTCACTAACGTCGTAGTGATGAATCGTTTCAACAAGAGATTCAGAAGAAGCAACTTCTAAATTTTCAGAGATTACTTTGGTCAATTCAAACGAACCGTCCGTTTTTTGAGAAGAAGCTATGGACTTGATAGTTTCAATTGAGGTCTTTGATTTGGCTTGTTTTAATGCTTCTTTTTGTTTCTCTTCATGTTTCCATAGGGCCAGACCTCCAGCTGTTGCGGCTAATAATCCAAGACCAGCTGCAGCTTTTGAGACGTTTTCCAAAGAGAAATAATTCGTTTTCTTTTTTTCTGATAATTTCTCTTCTTGAACCTGATCGGCTGTATGTGAAATAGCTTTGTGAGTAACCTTCTCGACCACATAAGTATTAGACACGTGTAAGATTTCTTCTTCTAATTTAACATCGTTGATTTCCGTGTGAAGATATTTGCGAGCTGCTTCATATTTAGATTTCCAAACCGCATCATGTTGTGTAACGGCATTCTGGAGATATGAAATAGTAATTGCTGTAGCCCACCAGGAAGATTTTGCGGTCTTTTTTAGAGTCTCACTGACTTGCTGGCGTTCGTAGATTGAAGTAACTAAAGCTTCAGATGAAGAAACGTCAAGATGCTTCGAGATCTCTTCACTTAACTCGAAAGATCCCTCGGATTTTTGAGTAGAAACAATAGAATGAGCGGCATGAATAGGCATCTTTTTAGCAATTTCTTGCATTACAGTCTTTTGTGTTGTTTCCGATTCCGCTGCTTTTTTGACCACAACTTTTTGAGTTATTTTTTCTACTACGTATGTTTCTGATACCTTTAATATTTCTTCTTCCAATTGTGTATCATTGATTTGTGTAGAAAGATATTTACGTGCTGCCTCATATTTAGCTCTCCATTGAGATTCGTGTGCGGAGGATGTATGTTTAAGATATGCAAGTGTAACGGCAGTAGTCCACCAGGTGGTCTTTGCGGACTTTCTGAGACGTTCACTAAATTGATATTGCTGAATTGAAGTAACCAAGCTTTCTGAAGAAGAGACTTCAAGCTGATCGGATATTTCTTTGCTCAATTCGAATGAACCGTCTTCTTTATGAGTTGAAATGATTTTATTTGTTTTTTCGGTGCTTGTATTCTTTTGAACTTCGGACAAAGCAGTTTTTTGATGTTCCTTATGTTTCCATAGAGCGAGACCACTTGTCGCCGCAATTCCCAGCCCAACAGCGCCTGCAGCAACGTTTGTAAGGTTCAATACGCTTTCTTTTTGTTTCTTTTGTTCCTTTGTCGTATCCTCATGAACTTTAGCTGTTGTATGCGAGAGAGCTTTGTAGGTGACTTTTTCCACAACGTATGAATTAGATACTTTTAAGATTTCTTCTTCGAGTTGAACATCATTAATTTCTTTGCTAAGATATTCGCGTGCTCGCTTATACTGTTCTTGCCATGCGGCGTTATGAGTGTTAGCGGTTTTCTGCAGATATGAGATAGTGATTGCAGTTGTCCACCACGAATTCTTTGACGATTTCTGTAGTTTCTCGCTTACTTGATGATTAGATGTAATAGACGTGACTAAAGTTTCGGATGAGGAGACATCGAGATGCTGAGATATCACTTTATTAAGTTCGAAGGATCCATTTGATTGCTGTGAAGAAACAATTGCTTTAGCGGTATCAACAGTAGTCTTTTTACTGATTTCTTCCAATACAGTTTTCTGTGTCTCTTCTTTTTTAACTGCTTCTTTGATTACGACGGTTTGAGTGACGCGTTCTACAACATAAGTCTCGGAAACTTTAAGGATTTCTTCTTCCAATTTTACATCATTGATTTGTTGGTGCAAATATCTTCGAGCTTCTTCATATTTAAGCTTCCACTGAGATTCGTGGTGAGATGCAGTTTGTTTCAAATAGGCAAGAGTTATTGCGGTTGTCCACCATTGATTTTTAGCATTACGTCTCAATCGTTCATTAATTTCGTAATTTTGAATAGAGGTGACTAATGTCTCAGATGATGAGACATCAAGTTTTTCGGATATCTCCTTACTAAGTTCGAAGGATCCATCAGTTTTTTGATGAGAGATAATGGCTTTCGTAGTATCTTCGGTAGTTTGTGATTTGATTTCATTAATGGCAGCTTCTTGTTTGTCGTGAGATTTCCAGAGAGCAAATCCACTAATGGCTAAACCAAGGCCAGCACCAACCTTAGCTAAATTAGATAAATTGAATATGCTATTCTTTTTTTCTTCAGCTTGCTGTTCTTGATGAACTTCGACAGCAGTCTTAGTAACAGCTTTTTTGGTGATTTTCTTAACTACGAGTTCGTTAGAGACATGTAGAATTTCATCTTCTAATCTTTTATCATTAACTTGTGTCCTTAGATATTGTAGAGCGCGATCGTATTTAGCTTTCCATATAACATCATGTGAGGAAGCTGTGTTCTGAAGGTAAGAAATAGTGATAGCAGTTGTCCACCAAGATGATTTGTCCGATTTTTTAAGAGATTCGCTGATTTTTTGTTTTTGGATCGCAGAAATCAAAGTTTCAGAAGAAGAAACACCAAGATCCTTCAACACAACACTGCTCAATTCAAAAGATCCGTCAGTTTTCTGGGAGGAAATTACGGTGCGAATATCCTCAACTGTTGTTTTCGAGGAGATGTTTTCGATGACTGCTTTTTGGGCTTCTTTTGATACGGCAGTTTCTTTGACAATATGTTTTTGTGTTACTTTTTCAACTACATATGTTTCGGAAACTTTGAGGATCTCTTCTTCTAACTGAGAGTCATTAACTTCTTGGCGAAGGTATTTGCATGCAGCTTCGTATTGTGCTTGCCATTCTGTTGTATGTACTGAGATTTGTTTGAGATACGCGATAGTAACTGCAGTTGTCCACCACGAATGTTTAGCGGATGTTTTAAGTTTCTCACTAACATCATAATGATGAATCGATTCAACAAGGGATTCAGAAGAAGAAACATTAAGTTTCTTGGAAATAACTTGATTTAATTCAAAGGAACCATCCGTTTTCTGAGAGGAAGCAATTGATTTAACAGTGTCGACAGTAGTTTTTTCTCTAACTTGTTTTATAGCTTCTTTTTGTTTTTGTTCATGTTTCCATAAAGCAGCACCACCAGCTGCGGCTACTAAACCAAGACCGACAGCAGCTTTAGAGACGTTCTCCAAAGAGAGATAGCCTTTCTTTTCTTTCTTTTCTTCTTCCAAATGCTCTTTATGGACTTCTGCTGCAGCATGAGAAATAGTCGTGTGTGTCACTTTTTCGATTACATAAGTTTCTGAAACCTTCAAAATTTCTTCTTCTAATTTAGCATCATTAATTTGCGTACTAAGATATTTGCGAGATGTTTCATATTTATCTTTCCATATGGAATCATGATCGGTCGCAGCGTTTTTAAGATATGCGATAGTGACGGCGGTTATCCACCAGGAATCCTTGGCGGTCTTTTTGAGAGACTCGCTTACTTGATGACGTTGATAAATAGAAGAAACTAGAGTTTCAGATGAAGAAACGTTAAGGCGTTTCTTTATCTCTTGGCTCAACTCAAAGGAACCTTCAGACGTATGAGAGGAAACAATAGAATGGGTGGTATCAACAGTTGTACCTTTAGCGACTTCTTTAAGTACAGTTTCTTGAGTTTCTTTGTTTGTTGCAGTCTCTTCAATGACAACTTTTTGGGTTACTTTTTCAACGACATAAGTTTCAGAAACCTTTAGGATTTCTTCCTCTAATTTCGTATCATTGATTTCATGATGAAGATATTTACGAGCCTCTTCGTATTTAGATTGCCAATTAGAACTATGATCCCAAGCAGTCTTTTTAAGATATGTTAATGTAACTGCAGTTATCCACCATGAAGGCTTGGCCGATTTTTTGAGTTTCTCGCTAATGTCATAATGATGAATTGATTCCACAAGAGTCTCTGAGGAAGACACATCAAGATGTTCGGATACAATTTTATTCAACTCAAATGAACCATCCGTTTTCTGTGATGAGATAATAGTTTTTGTGGTATCGACAGTTGTCTTTGATTTAACTTTTTCGATTGCTTCTTTTTGCTTCTGTTCGTGTTTCCATAGCGCAGCCCCACTAGCTGCAGCAACTAATCCGATACCAACAGCAGTCTTCGAGATTTTGTCGACAATGTTATCTTTCTTTTGAACGGCTTTTTCTTCTCCGACCTTCTTTTTGACTACACTAAGATGTGCGTCATGTGCATTTTTAGCAACTTTCTCGACCGTTTTATGTGTCAACCTCTTTTTAACATATGTATCAGATACCAATAGGATTTCCTCCTCTAATTTAGTGTCATTGATTTCAGTGGAGAGGAATTTGCGAGCTTCTTCGTATTTGGATTTCCAAACCGAATCATGTTCACTAGCAACATTTTTTAGATATGCAATAGTAATAGCGGTTGACCACCAGGAAGATTTTGATGATTTTTTAAGAGTTTCACTAACTCCATGATATTCGTAAATAGAAGAAACCAAAGTATCAGTGGAGGTAACGTCGAGCTCTTTGGAGATCTCTTTACTCAATTCGAATGATCCGTCGATTTTCTTATGGGAAGCAATGGCGTGAACAGTATCTCTGTTAGTCTTTTTCGCGTGGTCCTCGATTGCATGTTTTTGTGCTTCTTCTGAGCTTATAGTATTGACGATTACATGTTTTTGAGCGACTTTTTCTACAAAGTATTGATCAGAAACACGAATAATTTCTTCTTTCAACTTTTGATCTTTTATTTCGGCGTCAAGATAGTTAATTGCCCGTTGATATTGTTCCCTCCATACAGAATCATGAGCAGAAGAAGTGTGTTCCAAATAAGCGAGAGTTACTGCGGTTGTCCACCAGGTGTTCTTGGCAGATCTCCTTAATGTTTCGCTGATATGGTAGTTGTTAATCGATGCCACTAAAGATTCGGAGGACGTAATGTCTAATTCCTTGGCAACAATATGATTTAATTCGATAGAACCATCTTCTTTCTGCGAAGAAACCACAGCTTTGGACGTTTCTGCAGTTGTCTTTGATTTGACTTTTTCAAGAGCCTCTTTTTGTTCTTTATTAGAATGCCATGCAAGTACACCGATAGTTCCCGCAACTGCAGCTCCAAGTCCTAATCCAAGAGCAGTACTCTTCTTTAGCCAGGATTCGTCATCTTCCTTTTTCGCGGTCCCGGTCACACGATCTTTATGTTTAGCGACTTCGTCCACAGAAGGTTTTCTCTCGTGAGATTTTGTAGAGACGTGAGTTTTAGCGACTTGATCGACGACAAATCTTTCGGATGTTTCAATTACTTCTTGTTCCAAAACCGAATCATTGATACGTTGACTTAGATATTGACGCGCAGTTTTGTATTGTGCTTGCCAATGAGATTCATGACGTCTTAGCACCTTTTGGAAATAAGCAATAGTGATTGCAGTCTTCCATATCGTAATATCAAGTTTAGTAGCACGTTTGTCTTTAACATATTTTTCAATAGATGTGGTAATGGATTCTGTTTCAACAATCTTGAGATGTTCTATAATACTCTTGTGAAGTTCAAATGAGCCATCACTATGTTGAGTTGTGGTGATTTGTTGAACTTTTTGCACATCAACATCTTTGCTGGTAGCCTCCACAACGAGTTCTTTAGTTTTTTCGTTTACTACTTTATGTGTTGCCTTATCTACCACATATTTGTCGGTAATTTCAATTAATTCTTTTTCAAGTTCTGCATCGCCGATTTGAGTACTTAAATATTGTTTGGCACGCTCATACTTATCCTTCCATTCAGATTCATGACTAGATGCTGCTATTCTCAAGTAACTAAGAGTAATAGCCGTAATCCAAACAGAATGAGTTGTTTTCTCCTTTAATTTTTCACTGAAAGAACTAGTTTGAACGGAAGTGACTAGAGAAGCCGAAGAAGAAACGTCAAGTTCCTTTTTGATCTCTTCACTCAATTCAAATGAACCATCTTCTTTTTGGGTGGATACGATGTCCCGAGTTTTGTCGATATCTACATTAGTTTTGATATTTTCAACAGCAATTTCTTTTTGTTCGGTGACAATTTTACGCGTAGTTTTTGAGAGAATATATTCATTTGATGCTGCTAAAATTTCTTCTTCCAATCTGGAATCTTTAATCTCTTCTCGAAGATATTGTCTAGCTCGATCATATTTGTCTTTCAATGCTTTATCTTCCAAGGAAGTGTTTTGCAGATAACTTAACGTGATAGCTGTAGTCCACCAAGTTGCCTTGGCAGTATTCTTTAGTTTTTCGCTAACTGCGTATCTTCGGGCAGAAGAAACTAAAGTTTCTGTGGAGGAAACTTCAAGGACTTTTGAGATAGTTTCATGCAAGTCAAAAGATCCATTCTTTTTCTGAGTTGATACCACCTTCTTAACAGTATCGACATTAGTTCGAGATTGGATTGCAAGACGCGCGGCTTCTGTTTGAACGGTCTTTTCATTACGAATAACTTTATAAGTGATTTTTTCAACAACAAATCTGCGAGAAGCTTCTAGTATTTCCTTTTCTAATTTGGTATCGTTTATTTGTTGACTAAGATATTTACGAGCCAATTCATAATTTTGTTTCCAGTGTTCTTGATGGTTGACAGCTGAGGTCTCCAGGTAACCTATAGTAATAGCAGTTGTCCACCAAGTAGCATTCACTGATTTCTTGAGTTTTTCGCTAACAGCATATGATTTGACTGCGGTAACCAAGGTTTGAGATGAGGAGACATCGAGTTCTTTGGATATTGCTTGACTTAGTTCGAAAGAACCGTCTTGTTTTTGGGTCGATATAACAGATTTTGTGTCGTCGATGGTAATCTTGGAATGAATAGTGGTAAGAGCAGCTCGTTGTTCAGCTGATTTTTGCTCTTTAATGACTTTATGAGTTGATTTTTCAATAACAAATTTAGAAGAGGCTTGAAGAATTTCTTCTTCTAATTTAACGTCGTGAATTTGTATGCTAAGATATTTACGAGCAGCTTCATATTTTTCTTTCCAATGTTCTTCATGAGCGGATGCATTATATTTAAGATAACTAAGGGTGACGGCTGTAGTCCACCAAGCAGTCTGAGCTGATTTTCTCAACCTATCACTCAATGCGTAATGTTTAACTGAAGCGATCAAAGTTTCAGAAGAGGAAACATCAAGTTCTTTTGAAATTTCTTTATGTAAGGTAAATGAGCCATCCTTTTGTTGCGTTGAAAGAACAGCTTTAGTCGTCTCGACAGTTGTCTTTGCTTGAATTGCGAGTAAAGCATTTCTCTTCTCTTCTTTCTTTTGTAGCTTGACAACATTGTAAGTGGTCTTTCGTACGACGAATTTACGAGATGCTACGAGGATTTCTTCTTCCAATTTTGTGTCATTTATTTGTTCATGAAGATATTTACGAGCGGATTCGTATTTTTCTTTCCAGTGTTCTTCGTGAGCTGAAGCGTGATATTGTAAATAGCTAAGAGTGACCGCAGTAGTCCACCAAGCAGTCTGAGTTGATTTCTTGAGTTTTTCGCTTACAGCATAAGATCTAGCGGAAGTAACAAGAGACTCTGAAGATGATACATCGAGTTCACGCGACACAACTTCACTGAATTCAAATGAGCCGTCGGATTTTTGTTCAGAAATGACTTGTTTAGTTGATTCGATAGTTGTATTGGACTGAACAGCAACAATAGCGGTTTGCTTAGCAATCTTCTTTTGTCGACGGATTACTTTATATGTGGTTCTTTGCACAACAAGTTTTGAAGAAATTTTTAAAATTTCTTCTTCTAATTTTGTGTCATTTATCTCTTCATGAAGGTATTTGCGTGCGGCTTCGTATTTCTCTTTCCAATGTTCCTCATGTGCAGAAGCATTGAATTTGAGGTAGCTGAGAGTGACGGCTGTAGTGTACCATGATTCTTTTGCTAATTGTCTCAGCTTCTCACTGACACCATATGATTGCACAGAAGAAACCAAAGTCTTTGAGGACGAAACATCGAGTTCTTGAGAGAGCGTTTGATTGAATTCAAATGATCCATTTTCTTTTTGATTGGAAATGACAGACTTAGTTGTATCGATTGTTGTTTCGGATTGAAGAGTCATTAAAGCTCGACGTTTTTCACTCTTTGATTTCTTATAGGTAACTTTATGAGTGATCTTTTCTAAGACAAATTTATGAGAAGCTTTGAGAATCTCTTCTTCTAATTCGACATTTTTTATTTGTGCACTAAGATATCTTCTTGCGCTCTCGTACTTCGTTTTCCAATGAGATTCATAGGACGAGGAGGTAATTTTAAGATAATTGATCGAAACAGCAGTAACCCACCAATCAATTTCAGTAGATTTCTTTAATCTTTCGCTAACAGCATAGGTTCGAGCTGAAGTGACAATGGTTGCTTTGGAAACCTCAAGATGTTCAGCAATTGTTTGGCTTAATTCGAAAGATCCGTTTTGTTTTTGTTGGGAGATTACTGATTCCGAAGTACTGATAGTAGTCTTTGATTGAAGGTAAGCCAAAGCTTCCCTCTTTCGAACTACTTTTTGTTTCCTGATAACTTGAGTGCTGAGCTTCTCGAGAACAAAACGGTGGGAGACTTCTAAAAGTTCTGCTTCAACTTTTTCATTTTTAATTTGTTGACTTAACCATTTTCTTGAGGCTTCATACTTCTCCACCCATTCATTCTCGTAACGAGAAGCGGCAATCTTCAGGTAGTTAAGGGTGACAGCAGTAGTCCACCAAGAAACTTGAGCAGATGTCTTCAAATGTTCGCTCAGTCCATATGAATGAATTGAAGTTATTAATGAAGAAGACGATGAAACGTCGAGATGTTTTGAGATAGTTTCATGGAATTCAAATGATCCGTCAGACTTTTGAGATGAGACGATGGATTGTGTAGTTTCAAGGGTTGTTTTAGATTCAAGATGAACAATTGCGGCCTGTCTCTGTTTACGAACAATCTTTTGAGTGGCGCGAGCAACAACATATCGATAAGATGTTTCGAGAACTTGTTTTTCGATTTCAGCGTCGTGAATTTGAAGACTCAACCATTTACTCGCATGCTCGTATTTTTCTCTCCATTCTGATTCGTGTTTTGAGGCAGCAATTTTGAGATAACTAAGAGTGACTGCGGTCTTCCACCAAGTTTCTTTTACTAAAGTCTTTAAGCTTTCGTTAACTGCGTATGAATGAACTGACGAGACAAAAGTTTCCGAAGAAACATCGAGTTTCTTTTGAATAGTCTCGCTCAATTCGAAATGACCTTCGGTATTATAGGAAGCCAAGATTGATTGGGTTTTTTCGGTCGTATGTGAAGTTTGAAGAGCAATAACTGTCGCGCTTGTTTGTTTGTGTATAACTTTAGTTGTGATTTTTTCAAAAACAAATCGTTTAGAATTTTCTAAAACTTCTTTTTCGATTTCAGCATTGTTGATTCGTTGTTGCAACCATTTATATGCACGGTCGTATTGTTCTTTCCAGTGATCTTCATGATGAGAAGCGGCAACTTTTAGGTAATTGAGCGTGACTGCGGTTGCCCAAACTGATTCGTCGACAGTGGATTTTACGCGTTCACTTACTCCATACGAATGAATTGAAGAAATAAGCGTCTTGGATGAGACTTCAAGTTTCTTGGAAACAGTTTGGCTCAATTCGAAATAACCTTCAGTCTTTTGAGAAGATATAATTGATTGAGTTTTCTCAATTGTATGGGAAGTTTGAAGAGCAACAACTGCAGTTTGGCGTTCCTCGTCAGTGAATTTTGAATGCCAAATGTGAGCGTCGATATGTTGTTGTTTTTCATGGAATTTATCTGCAAGATGCGTAATTCCGGCGACAACACCTCCAACCGCACCAGCAACGCCAACAGCTTTAGTAACACCAGTCAATTGTTTGAACATCGAATCTTCCTTTGCTTTCTCTATTGTTTTATTGCTCACGCGTTCGACAACATATTTTTCGGAAGCATCAATTACTTCTTGTTCTAAAGCCGTATCATTAATACGTCGACTTAAATATTGGCGAGCTGATTGGTATTGTGTTTGCCAAAGAGATTCGTGATGTTTTAGTACATTTCGGAAATAAGCAATAGTGATTGCAGTCTTCCACACGGAAATATCTAGTTGAGTAGCACGTTTATCAGTGACATGAACTGATTTTGTGATTGATTCGACTTCGGTAATATGTAAAGCTGATGTTATGGATTCATGAAGCTCAAATGATCCATCTTCTTTTTGCGAGGAAATGATGGATTTTGTTTTATCAGAAGATATGTTCTTATTTGCATGAGTAATAAGAGACTCTTGAGCTTTTTGAACAAGGGTTTGACGTGATGTTTTTTCAACTACATATTTGTTGGAAACTTGCAAAATTTCTTCTTCTAATTTAGTATCGTTAATCTGCGAACTCAGATATTTGCGAGCTTCATCATATTTAGCTTGCCATACGGAATCATGTTCTGTTGCAGTGTTTTGAAGATATGTGATAGTAACTGCTGTTGTCCACCAAGAATTTTGTGCGGTTTTCTTTAGTTTTTCACTGATAACATAGGTTTTAATGGACGCGACTAAACTTTCTGTTGAAGTGACTTGAAGTGTTTTCGCAATTTCTGAGCTTAATTCAAATGATCCGTCATGTTTCTGAGTAGACACGACTGATTGCACCTTATCGCTCGAGGTGATCGATTGAATTTTTTGCGATGCATGGACATTATCTTCCCTTATGACTTTATGAGTAATTTTATCAACAACAAACTTATTGGAAGTTTTAAGAATTTCTTCTTCTAATTTAATATCATTAATTTGTTCGTGAAGATATTTTCTGGCCTGGTGATATTTGGCTTCCCAGTGATCTTTATGAGCAGAGGCAGTAGTGGCGAGATAACTAATGGTAATTGCAGTGGTCCACCATGAAGCTTTGGCGGATTTCCTGAGTTTTTCACTGAATGCGTATTTTTGAGCAGCAGTGACCAGAGTATGAGAAGAGAAGAAATCCAAATGTTTCAAGATCGTCGAGTGAGCTTCAAACGAACCATCTTCTTTTTGAGCCGTTATAACTTCCTTTGTAGTTTCTTCTGAAACACTAGACGCAACAGTAATTTTGGCGGCTTCTTTAATAGTTTTCTTGTGTTTTCTAACCAACTTGTAAGTGGTTTTTTCAACTACAAATCTCTTTGAAACTTGCAATATTTCTTCTTCTAATTTGGTGTCGTTGATTTGTGCACTAAGATATTTGCGAGCCGATTCGTATTTTTCTTTCCAGTGTTCCTCATGAGCGGCGGCAGTTGTTTGTAAGTAGGCGAGTGTGACCGCTGTTGTCCACCAAGAAAATTTGGCACTAGTCTTTAATTTTTGACTAACAAAGTATCTCTTTATAGATGTGGTCAGAGTCTCCGCAGAAGAAATATTCAAATCTTGCGCGACAACTTGACTCAATTTGAATGATCCATCCGTATTTTGCGATGATAACACTGATTTAGTTGTTTCAATTGTCGTCTTTGTCTGAATAGCGGCGAGGGCATAACGTTGATCTGCATGTTTTTGCTCTCGGATAACTTTAGCGGTGGATCGTTCAATTACTAATTTGGTGGAAGCTTTGATGATTTCTTCTTCGAGTTTAGCGTCATGGATTTGTGCACTGAGATATTTACGAGCAGATTCGTATTTCTCTCTCCAATGTTCTTCATGAGCGGAGGCATGATACTGAAGATAGCTGAGAGTGATAGCAGTTGTCCACCAAGATTCTTGTGCATGTTGCTTCAAATGCCGGTTAATTGTGTATCTCTGAACCGAGGTCAACAAAGATGTGGAGGAAACTTCAAGTTCCTTCGAGATTGTTTCGTGTAATGAAAATGAACCGTCTTGTTTTTGAGTAGTAAGCACTGATTTTGTCGTTTCCAAAGTTGTATTTGATTGAATATGCAATAAAGCAACTCGTTTGGCCGCTTTCTGTTGTTTACGAATAACTTTGTATGTAGTCTTTTGAAGAACATATTTCGAAGATGCGCGCAGAATTTCTTCTTCGAGTTTAACATCATGAATTTCATGGCTAAGATATTGTCGGGCGGCTTCATATTTATTACGCCAGTGTTCTTCATGAGCTGAGGCGTGATATTGAAGATAATTAATAGTGATGGCAGTTGTCCACCAAGAAGCCTTTGAAGATCTCTTGAGCGTCTCGCTATAAGTGTATTTTTGTATCGATTTCAACAAAGTTTGCGAAGTGGAAATATCAAGTTCCTTTTGGATCACTTTAGAAAGTTCAAAGGATCCATCTTGTTTTTGAGCTGAGAGAACTTGTTGGGTGACTTCTGTCGTAGTCTTTTCTTGGACAGCTATCAAAGCAGTACGTTTTTCTTCCTTCTTTAGCTCACGGGTGACTTTATGTGTGGTCGTTTGTACGATAAATTTAGTAGATGCACGAAGAATTTCTTCCTCTAGTTTAGCATCTTGAATTTCTTGACTAAGATATTTAAGAGCGGCTTCATATTTTTCACGCCAATGTTCTTCATGTGCTGAGGCGTAATATTGAAGATAGCTAATGCTAACGGCAGTTGTCCACCAAGAAGCCTTGGTAGTTCTCTTTAATCTCTCGCTGAATGCGTATTTTTGTACCGAGGTGACCAATGTTTCAGATGAGTTGACTTCGAGATTTTCAGAAATTACTTTGCTCAATTCGAAGGAACCATCGGATTTTTGAGATGACACAATAGTTTGAGTGGACTCGATAGTAGTTTTTGACTGAATATGAATTTGTGCAGTACGTTTGGCAACCTTCCTTTGTTTACGGATCACTTGATAAACACTTCTCTTCAAAACAAATTTGGCGGAAGCTTTCAAGATTTCTGCTTCAAGTTGAGCATCATGAATTTCATTACTAAGATATTTACGAGCAGCCGCATATTTAGCACGCCAGTGTTCTTCGTGTGTTGAAGCATGATATTGAAGATAGCTAATAGTAGCAGCAGTAGTCCACCAAGATGCTTTGCTAGTTTTCCTGAGCCTTTCGCTTAGAGAATACGAACGAATAGATGTAACCAAAGTTTCTGTAGAAGAAATATTAAGTGCCTTTGAAAGATGCTCACTCAATTCAAAAGACCCATCAGCTTTTTGAGCCGATGTAACATTCTGGGTAGTCTCCAAAGTAGTTTTTGATTGTAAGTGAACAAGTGCTGCGTTATATTGCTCTTGTTTCAACTTGTATGATACAAGGCGAGTAGTCTTTGTTGACACGAATTTATAGGAAGCCCTAATAATTTCTTCTTCGAGAACTGCATTATTGATTTGTGCACTTAGATAGGCGCGTGCACGCTCGTATTGCTCTTTGTAGTGTGCCTCGTGAGTAGTAGCATAAATCTTTAAATAATTAAGAGTCACAGCTGTTGTCCACAAAGAAACTTGAGTAGATTTTTTCAATTCCTCACTTTGAACATAAGTTTTAACGGATGATACCAAAGATTGCGAAGAGACTTGAAGACTCTTTGAAATCACTTCGTTCAATTCGAAGGATCCATCTTGTTTTTGCGTTGTAACAACAGATTGAACTGTTTCGAGAGATGTTTTAGATTGAGCGTGGATTAAAGCATTCAGTTTATCTTTGATTTGACGTTTACGGGTAACTCTTTGCGTTGTTTTTTCGATTACTAATTTATAGGATGCCTTCAATATTTCCTCTTCCAATTTTGCATCTTGAATTTTTTCACTCAAATATTTTCTGGAGATCTGATATTTTTCCTTCCAATGAGCCTCGTAAGAGGAGCAAACGACTTGAAGATAACTAAGCGAAATGGCAGTTGACCACAACGAGATGTCGGTCGATTTTTTGAGCGTCTCGCTGATTGCATAAGTCTGGGTAGTTGCGATTAAAGTCTCGGATGTTACTTCGAGATGTTCAGAAACCTCTTTATTCAATTCAATTGAGCCATCTTCTTTCTGAGATGAGATGACAGAATTTGTAGTTTCGATGGTTGTTTTGGATTGAAGATAAGTAAGCGAGGTCTGCTTCTCGGATTTTCTTTGTTTTCGAATTACTCTATGGGTGGCCTTCTCCAATACATATTTACTGGAGACTTCAATTAATTCAGCTTCTAATTTTGCATTATTGATTTGGATACTTAGCCATTTTCTTGCTTTTTCGTAGTTCGCTTGCCAATGAGCTTCATGACGAGCTGCAGATAATTGGAGATAGCTTAAGGCTACTGCGGTTGTCCACCAGATGGTTTGAGCCGAATTCTTTAATTCTTCGCTTATTCCATACGAGTGGATGGAGGAAATTAAGGTTTCCGAAGAAGTGACTTCAAGTCTTTTCGCGATTACCTCATTGAATGTGAAGTATCCTTCGGTTTTTTGTGAAGAAATGATTGTTTGAGTGGTTTCCACAGTTGTTTTTGATTCCAAATGAATAATAGCAGCGGCACGTTGTTTACGGGCAATTTTTTGAGTTGCCCTAGTAATAACATATTTATAAGAGGTTTCTAATACTTCTTTTTCAATTTCTGCGTTGTTAATTTGTGTGCTTAACCATTTACTGGCATGCTCATATTTTTCCTTCCAGATTTGTTCATGGTTTGCTGCGGAAATCTTCAGATAATTAAGGGTGATAGCGGTAGACCATATAGCTTCTTGTGTAACTGATTTAACGCGTTCGCTGACACCAATCGAATGTATCGAAGAAACCAGTTTTTCGGATGATATTTCGAGTTTTTTAGCGATTACATGACACAATTCGAAATGACCTTCTTGTTTATGTGATGATACAATGGTTTTTGTTTTCTCGACCGTATGAGATGTTTGAATTTGGACAACAGTAGTTTGTGATTGCTTGCGAATTACCCTTGTTGTCGAACGTTCGATAACGAATCGACGCGAGACTTCCAAAACCTCTTTTTCAATTTCTGTGTCATTAATTTGTTCATGCAACCAATTAAGTGAATATTCATATTGTTTTTTCCAATGAGCTTCGTGATGTGCGGCAGCAATCTTGAGGTAATTAAGAGTAATTGCCGTTGTCCACACAGCTTCATTAACCGAAGTCTTAATTTTTTCGCTAACATCGTACGAATGAATAGACGTGATCAATGTATGGGAAGTAACTTCGAGTTTTTTAGATATCACATCACTCAATTCGAAATGACCTTCTTTTCTGAAATAGGTCAAAATGGATTGAGTCTTTTCGACGGTATGCGAGGTCTGAATAGCAATAAGAGCGACTCTTTGTTCTTCGGTGTAATCTGATTTCCATTGTTTCTTTTCTACCGCCTCAGAGGTAAGATCTTCATTTTCGATCTCAATTTGCTCTTTCTTTGTTTCGATGCCAGATATAAAACTAACATCAGCCTCAAGATCTTCTTGCTCAACTTGATAATTTTCGACGACAAATTTTTTGGCACTTTCATGGATTTCCTTTTCAAGTTGAGTATTTCCTTTGAATTGGAGTTTTAACCATTCCGAAGACTTTTCGTATTCCTCCACCCAATTGTTACGGTAATCACCGGCAACTAATCTCAAATAATAAATGCTGACAGCGGTGGTCACAACTTTGATGTGTGTCTCTGACACGTGTTCGGACTTGAAGTAACTCTTGAGGTGAGTTACGAACGCTTCAGAACTTTGATAGCCGAAGAATTCAGCAGTATTTTGTTCCAAGGAAAAAAATCCTTCGGTAGATTGGTAAGACTTGATACGATTAACATGACGAATATTAATCATCTTTCGGGTAATTTTAGTGATGTCTATTATTAAAATATATTAATTAGTGTTAATTATAAAAAAAATAAATTAATTAAATAATAAATATAAATACCTTTGCCCAAGCTTGCCTTTTGCTGACTAGAGATTTCGGTGATATCGAAACGTCTAATGACGTATTTTTTAGTAATCTCGTATAATCGGTCCTCCAGTTCCACATCATAGACTTGTTGAGTCACCCACTGTTCACTATGTGAAACAACTTGACTCCATTCACTTTTATGTTCCCAGAATAATAATTTTATATATGTGATGGCGAGTGCAGTCGACCATACAGAAATATCCAAAGAAATCAAACGTTCATCATGTGTCACTTGTGCTTTAAAATCGTCAAAGAAATCATTCTCAGATTTAAAGTTGAAATAATTTGCCAGATTATTGGAGAAATCGAATGAACCCTGACTTTCCCGAAGACTGATTAGAGTGTAAAGGTGTTCAATCTTTATTGTTTCTTTTTTGAATACGAAACCTTCTTCCCATGTAAAGCCAGTTGGGTAGAATTGCGCTTCATAGTGCAATTCGCCTTGTGCACCTTCACCCGAAACGAGTAAAATACTTTCCCATTTATCCACAGGATTCAAACTTTCAAATTTTCCTTCTTCAACTTGGGCTACCAAATCATTGGTGTCAATGGTCAGGTAACCGAGTACAGCATCGGACACGAATAAATTAGAATCTAGAATTTCAAGAGAAATTTTTTCGCCAACACGATGAATTGGAATAAAATGAACTTCTTCCCAAACAGGATCTGTGGTCGAATGAGCTGCTTTTGTGCGAGCAACTTCTTTTGAAGTCTCGTCAAGAATCTTCACATAAGGATCTGTATGTCCACCAGTGATGAAACTTGCTTTCTTGACCTCTTTAGCACGATCAAGTTTAATTTTGACAAGGCCGATAACTTCATCAACATTGTATCCCGTTATATTGGTTTCTGGCTCAGATTCTGGTATTTCAACATTGACGCTCGTATCTACACTCATTGTCAAAGTCTTTTCAAACGATTTATCTTCTTGGATAGATGTTTCATCGACTTCAAATCGTTTGATGACATAAGTTCTAGCAGCTTCATAAACTTCTTTTTCGATCTCTTCGTTTTTGATATTTTCAGTGATCCATGTTGATGCTTTGGTATATTTGTCGACCCATTCAACACGATAGTCGACTAGAACAAAACGGAGATACCAAAGTAACACGGCAGTAGTCCAAACATTGATATCAACTTTTTTAACGTTAGAAGAGGAGAAATGCCCAGAAATGTGTTGATGAGCTTCTTCGACTGAATTAAAGCCAAGTGATTCAGCCAATTCTGTATCAAGTTCAAATCCACCATGTCCCTTTTGGTAAGAGATGATACGACGTACGATACGCACATCGGTAATAGTAGTACGCGTATATTTAGTGACAGTTCTTGTAACTATATTTAATTAATAATTGAGGAAGATTAGCTTTCATTAAAAATAAAGGATTCATCAATATCAGGTAAAAAGTTGATACCTGTTGTATATAAGCTCGATTTGTGTTCATCACTTTCAAAAGTAGTAACATTGAATCGTTTTAATACATAGCTATTAGAGTACGCGTATAATTTGTCTTCGATTGCAACATTGTTAATGCTCTCACTTAACCAAGATTCACTCTTTGAATAACATGTTGTCCACTCTGTTCTGTGTTTCCAAAAGAGAGTTTTGAAGAGCGAAGTGATAAGAACAGTCATCAAAATGTTTTTGTTTAAGGTGACAAGTTGTGAATCGGTCTGAATGTGAGATTGGAAAGATTCGATCAATTCCTGGGAACTGGAGAAATTGAATAACTTTGCGATATCGTCATTAAGTTCAAAAGATCCATTTTGTTTCTGAAGAGTGATGATAAGATGAAGATGACTCAATTGAACTGTGCTTTGAGATATTTCAATTTTTTCAGATAAATCGACAGTGGGGAAGAAATCGGCGATTATGTGCAATTGACCTTTTGGTGTTTTCTTATAGATCAATTTAGCCCAACTATCCAATTTCTTCCCGTTAATAGTACCATCAGCACGACGCATAACAAAATCTTTCACATCTAACACGTAACTACCCAAAAGTTCATGTTTGAAGAAGGCGTTGTAGTCATTAACGATTATCTGGAACTTTTGATTGAGTTCGTAGATAGGAATAAAGAAAACTTGATCCCATTTAGGATTCAATTCATTATATATAACACGTGTTTCACCGTATTGCCAACCGGAAGCCAAATCGGTGATAATGGCATAAGGATCAGAAGCGCCACCGGTAAACCAAGAATCAGCAGAACGAAGTTTTCTGGCACTTTCGAGATGAATACGTGCGATACCCAATGGTTTTGATAACTCTATATATTATAATAGATTTTTGGTGTGTATGTATGAAATCATTTATTCACTCAAATTCAATAATGGGAAATAATATTCAATTCAACTTACGTAAAAGTTTGCCATCATGACCTATACGTCGTCCAGCATGAACCGCAAGTTTAATTTCACTAAATTCAGCTTCGAATTTTTCATCCAATTTCCAAACATCATCTTGGACTTTATAATGAGTTTTAGCGAATGATTGAACAAGCGTGAAAGCTTCATTTTCAAGCATTTCTTTGCCTTTAAATTGACCCCAAAGCCAAGTGTAAGCAATTTCATACTGTATTATCCATTCATTTTTTTGATCTACCGCCACATAACGATAATAATAGAGGACCAAGATAGTGATCCAAACTTGCGTTTCTAAACTCGCTAATCTGGTACTTCTTGAACTTTTTTGAACAAAAGAACCGATCTCGTTACGAAGGGCATCCGCATTATTGAAATTAAGGATTTTGGCAAGTTCGTCGGTGAGAAGAAACGAGCCAAGCTTAGTTTGGTGTTTAAATGATGCTTTAATATGTTCGACTGTCATGGTTTCACGCGTTACACCGAGCTTCACAATATCTACAAGTGACAAATTCGAGACAAAGAAAATTAATTGAAAAATTTAGATATCATACAAAATTATCGTTTATACATACATTCATCGCGCACGTTAACTTCAAATCTTGTTCGAATAGATTCCCTTCCGATTTTGATAATCGACTCTTCGAGTTCAAGATCTCCATTAACTTCTCTACTAATATATTGTTCAGCACGATCATACAACGATGCCCATTCGGAACGATAGGCTCTTAACATATATCGCAAGAACCAAAGAACCAAACTTGTAGTCCATAAAATTTGTTTTGTCTTTAAGACACGTTCTTCGTTATGAGAAACTTTAGCATTCGACTTGAATAAATCGAGAAGTTCTTCCTTAGTCTCATAACCGAATAATTTCGCTAAATTGTCTGATGGCTCAAAGCTACCATTTGAAGATTGAAGAGAAACGAGCGAATAGAAAACGTTGATGTCGTATGGTTTAGTTTTAAGGTTCTTAATGAAATCTTGCCCCGGTGCGGGAGCAGAAGACAATGGGAAGAACTTTGCTTTATAATGAAGTTGACCCTTGACAGTAAGATTAACCCAGCTGATTTTAAAAGAAAATCAAAATAATAATTAGATCAATATTCCGAATCGCATTGAATTGATAACAATTCGACTTTTATGAAATTCATTTAACTATGATAGAAACTTTGTAATTTCGGAAACTATAATATAAAACTTCGAATCCTTACGCATCAATTCCTTTTTCGCTGCCTTGATATGATCCATCAGTTAGTTGTTTAACGAGTTCTGATTTAACTTCGAATATTGCAGTGCCAAGAGTTTTGTCTTTCGTGAATGTATTTTCATCAAATACTTCAATGGTAAATTTTTCACCAATGTGTGTTACCGGGATATAGAATGTTTCATTCCAAACAGGATTCAAATCATTATCGATTGTTTTGGTTTTGACGATTTGTTCTTTAGTACCCGGTGCATAAACTATGACATAAGGGTCGGATTTCCCTATTTATTGAAGATTTGTGTAATTACACATATTTTGAGACTCAACAAGAAAAAATATCAATAATAAGCGAAGATTACCTCCTCCGGCCCAAGAATCTACGTTTTTTAAATCTCTAGCGTTCACTATTTCCAACTTAATAACACCGATAGCTTTACCTCCTATTATAAATAAATGACAAGTAGCATCACGTGACAATTTCCTGCGGAATTACAAAATCAAATCGAGTAGTTTACGTACTAGCTGCCGATTTCTTTCCAACAGGCATGAGAATCCAACTACTCGTCTTATCTTTACCGAATCCCTTAGCAGTGGAGTCGGAAAGAATGACACTGGAACCTTCTTTTACGCTGTTTCCTTTTACTTCCAACACATATTTCTTTTGACTTTGCAAAGCGATCCAACCATCTTTGGTGATTTCCCACCGTTGATTTTGCGCCATATTGGCATTTCTCTTGTGGAAAAGAATAAGACGATTGCCAACTTTACCTATTATGTAAAAGAAATATGACGTCATAAGACATGTGACTTCGAGCACGTGATTAAAAATACATTTGTCGATCGAAACAATCATATTTGGGACACAATGTAACACACGCAAAACTCAAAACTTAAAATCGTCAATGACGTAATAATTTAATAAAAAGTATGATGTTCATTTTACTCAATTTAATGATAAACATATTACATATATGAAAATTATTATACATGAAAAGGAACGTGCGAGCACTTGACTAATTAAAAACTTATAAAAATGCAATTAATTAATAGTTTACCATTTTCTGCTTCAAGAACCAAGCCATTCGCCTTGTTAACAATCCAGCCGTCTTCATAGTGCCAAAGTTGAGCCGGGTCGTGAGCTGTGTCACTTTTTTGTTTTTGCAGTGCAATTTTCGTACCGTCCTTTGGTGCTGTCCAGAAAAATCCTTTATCTGTATCAAGGACATAGTTCTGGGAAGCAGGGGAGGTGAGTGAAGTTCCCGAGGGAGAAGCAGCCGACTTTATGTAGACGTCGCCCTTCGGAAATTCCGCCTTAGTTGTCATTATTTTTCGTTTAAAAGGTTAAAAATTTTTCGTCTCTCGTGTAGGATATCTAAAAAAAAAGATAATCTAGGGAAAAAAATAATTAGTAGTAACACAATAAATAAATTAAATGCCTTCCGAAAGACAAAAGTTTTCGGTGCAAAAGGAAATCAATAGACGCGACGCTTGACGGTTTTTATATCACTACTAGTTGTACACATAGATAATCGAATCACTTTTTTATTGGTGTAACTCAGAAAAGTACAAACCTGTATGACAACAAAAATTTTCCCATGCTGTTATTTGAACAAAGAAACAATAATAATTTATACTAACGTCAGACGTCGATTATTCCCGATTCTAAACTTTTGTCCAACCCATCGTATAGCAAGTTGTATCTGGAATTTGTCGGCTGAAAGTATAGGCTGATCCTTTCAAAGGTGAGGCATCGTCATTTTAGAGAGTTTTTAAACAATGCATGATCTGCTGCGAAACATACTCTAATTTTCCTGTCAAACTAAGATTGAAAATCTTTTTCGGAAATTAGATGTGCACATCGATTCTTTAGCAAGTTACTATGTGTCCCGCCTTCTTTCAACAATTGGGGGCTTTTAGATATTGTAAAAAAAAATAAGTAAATATCACTTTTTTATAATAAGATGGCGTAAGACACAATTTAATTTTAGAGTAGATACTACGAGGAATTTCTTCCTAAATCGGGGCAGAATCTGATACCATTGATCATCACGATTCGGTTTTTTGAAGATTGAACTATTCAAACGCTAAAAATGGCGAGTAAACATGTACAAAAATTAATATAATTAAATCTGGTTCATAACTTGCTTTTTTTTTTATTAGTGGGGTGATTTAAAGGCTAACCATATTTGGAATACAAATAAGTGAAGTAATCCTGAATAGAATTAATTTAATCTTGATAGCCAATTTCAAAGTTCATAAAAAGATTAGTGCGTTTAGCGATTAAACTATTTAAAAAATTTTTTCCCCTTAAAAATTACGTATGTTCCAAAGAAAGATCGAGTAAAAAAACCACCTCGAGCTCGAAAATAAATTAATACACAAACCAAATAACCAGCTTTCAACAACTTTATTAAAACTTGTTAGGCGTTAATTGGGGAGAAATAAACCAGCCAATAAATATGTTCCCAATTGTTATTCTTACGAGTTTTATCTATATGCAGAACTTTTGGCGTACAGAATATACATACACAGGCATTCTTAATATTAAGATAAGTCGTGTGCAAAGAAGTTCGTGGAATCTACTGGAAAAAATTATTCAACAAAGACAAGTAAGAAATCGTGATAAGAGGCACCTCCTCTATATTTTTTTTTTATTTTTCACATGTCATAAACGACGGTAAAGGAAACCTAAAAAATTTTACACCTAAAAATTTTTACACCTAAAAAATTTTACCTCTCAAATTTGTGAAAACCTGATAATTTTAATCGTGTTACACTAAAGCCAGGTAGTAAATTATATTGAAATCTAGATCAATTAAATCCGTAAATCCAAATTCCCAAATTAATAATTGACAAGTGATCTATTACTTATTAAACAAATGCTTATCTGAATTTTTTCTTTTTGTTATTATATTTGTTAATTAGATTTTTGTATTAAAAAAATATTGTGATTAAATATTATTATTAATTATAAAATATTAATAAAAACTTAATTATATAAAAAGTTAAAAACTAATCTAAAATTCTTTTTATTAAATAATTTTAAAATTAAACTTTGATTTGACTTTAGAAAAAATTTTAATAAGTTTAATTAAAAAGATTAATTAGTAATAATTAATTTAATTATAAAGTAATTAAAGTTAAAATTTTTTTAAAATAATCTTAATAGTAAAAATAATATTATTTTTACTTTAATTTAAATTATAAATAATAATAAGATCATATATATATATTATCATTCAAGTAATAATTAATTTATAAGTTTATCATTATACTTAAATATTCATAATTTATAAAAAAATATAATAAATTTATATTTATATTATTATATTTAAATACTTTATAATTTATAAAAAATATGATGATTATAATTAATTTTTATTATTATTTATATATAATATAATATATATTGATTTGATAATTGTAACTAATTTTTATCATTAATTCATATAAATAAAAAATATATTAATAATATATTTGATTATATATCATCATTTTTAGATCTAATAATAAAAAAATAATTATACAAATATTATCAAGTTATGTTATATATATATTATTAAATTATATTTACTTATCTTTATTATTAAATAATTTATATATCTTATTTATAATTTAAATCAATTAAGAATATATTATCATTTTCTTTTTTTATTACTTATTTATATTTACTTTTTTTTTATTTTAATTAATAAAAGTTTTTTTCTAAAATTAAAAATTATTTAATAATTTTTTATTATTAAAAGTAATAATTTATAAATAATTTAATAAAAGAATAATAATTAGTTATGAAAATTCAAAATATAATTATTTATTAATTATTTAGATAATAAAATATAAAAAAATATTTAATATTACATTAAATAAAATATATTTAATACAAATTTATCAAATTAACTTAATTAACTTTATCTTTAGATTATAATAAAATATAATTAATTATAAATTAAATATAATTAGAATAAATTAAAGACAACTGTTAATTTATATCATCAAGTATATAATTAGTATTATTATTATTTATTATTTTATTAATTTATATTTTTAAATATATTAATTTCAGATTATATTTTTTAAATCTGTTTTTTTAATATATACTATATAACAAAAAAAATGATGGTTGCTAAATCAAAATATTTTTCAAAATAAATAAAAAATCATATTATTGATTGTAAATACATCTTGTTTTTCTAATAAATATCTGTTCAGACAAATAGATTTAAAGATAAAATAATTATTTAATATCCTCTTACTATCTATATAACAGAATAAAATATAGTTAATATAAAGTTCTATGTATAGTGTGAAATAATATTATATTACTGATTAAATAGTATATATTTAGTAAATAAAATTCATCAAAAAACAAACATTCTCCTTTGAATTATTGAATGAAATATCAAAAAACTTAAAGAAATAAGTATAGTAAAGTATCGATAAGAGAATAGCTACAAATCTAAGATTATATAAAGAATTACTACTACTATCAGACAACATATACATAATAATAATAGTATTTTAACATGACAACTTGCTGTAAAAGTGCAAGAAAATCAAGAAATATCAATATTACATCAAACAATTTGGCAAAATTTAAGAAAAAAAATTATATGAGCTCTATATCTTATAGGATGCTGATACTTATAGATTAATATATGAAAATGTAAAAAAGATGGACAGAAGTATATACACAAGACAACTAGAATTATACCATCTTCACTGATAAGATTACATTTGTTCTTTTCTGAAATAAAGTCCATTGGTGGCATAAAACTAAAGTAAAATCTTTTCAGTGACTATCTAAAACATGTTAAAAGATTATAATATAAAGTAAAATCTTACTTAGAGGAAAAATACTATTATTTTGCTTTACCAAAATAATAGATGGGCCATTTTATGTTAACATCCTGCAAATCTAGCTTTTACCTGCTATACAAAATATATATGATAATAACTGATATTTATAACAGGATAATAATCTGAAGTACACATCCAAGATAGCAAAAAATTTTATTGCAGAAAATAGAATTAAGATAATTGACTACTGATAAACAGTTCTAATCTTAATTCTATTAAAAACTTGTGACAAATAATTAAGAATAAAGTTGAGCAATAAATACCATAAAATATTGAATAATTAAAGTAATTTTTAATTGAAGAATGAGAAGTAATTTCTAATGAAATAGTAATTAATTTAGTATAATCAATAAAAAATAGATGTGAACTAGTAATAGAAATAAATGGTGATAGAATTCCTTACTAAAAATTTTATGATTAATAAAGAATCTTTTAGGCTTTTTAATATATCAAATTTTATTTAAATATCTATTATAGTTACTTAGAAATACAAAAATTTGTCACTGCTATTTTTTTTATTACACAATATAAATTTGATTTATAAAATAATAATTTACTATTTTAATAAATTAATTTCAAATTATATAGTTAAATATACTTATTTTTTATAATTTTAATATTAGAATATATATTAAAATATACTGATATTTTTTGACTTAAATTATTATGAATATATTATAGATATTACTTAAGTAAAATTTTTAAGAATTTAAAATTTTTCTTGATTATATTATAAATTATTTAAGTAAAATAGTAAAATTCTAAAAAAAAATAAAATTTTTTCTTATAATATATCTTTAATATATATATAATATATAAATATATATTATAATCAATTATCTATTCATATGGTATAGTAGATATAATATAATATATGATGTAACTATAATATATAATGCAATAATTACTAATCATTACTAAATCAGATAAATAATTATATGTGTCATATCTAATTTATAGTTTTATTAAATTAATAATTTTCTAATTAATTATTATTAATTTTCTTTTTTTTCTCACTTTAACTTTGAATAACTTGATATTTTGCTAATTTTAAATTCTTTATTATTATGTATTGTAACCAATTAGCTTATTCGTGTAGCGCAGTATATGGCGCAGCCGCAGCACGTGACGCAGTAATCGCTGATTACTACTAAATCGGACGAATAAGTAATTTATATTAATTAATTTAATTTATTATTCATTCTATTTATAATTCTTATTATTACCCGTATTTAGCCTTATTCAAATATTAATTTAGCCATGTGTGTCACACTTAATTTATAGTTTAATTAAATTAATAATTTCCTTATTAATTATTTTTATCTTTTCTTTCTCTTCTTAATTTATC